AGTAGCTCCTGGCCCTACTACTAGTAACAAGAAGCTACTAGTAGCAATCGACCCTGCTGAGTTCACATGGATCCTTTTCTGAATGGACGCCCGCAACGCCTCGCCTGGGTTGGTCACGGAGGGTGCCAGCGTCACGTGGGCGTCGGGCCTGGGAGCCTGCGAGGAACAGGGAAGTTCAGGCCGTCGCTACTAGGAGCTACTAGCTCCTGGGCTTACTGCTAGGAGCTTTCGAAGCCACAAGAAAGCGAGCGCGCAGGTGCCGGCATCGAAAGTAGGTTCCTTGTGCGGACGGACTTATGAGCTTGGAGCGCAGGTGGCCAAGGCCGAAGAGAGGCCAAAGACGACCTCCAAGATCCAAGTCGAAGACCGACCCAAATCACTACTCGGTGCCTAAGACCCTGCAGGACATATCAGGAATAAGGGAATGGATCGGAAAGAGGTATCTACAGGGGTGGTTCCTTCCTGTTCATTCCTGTTTCCCTCAGCCCGAGCCTGATGGAAAAAGGGGACCTCCCTCTCTGCCCCCCCTTCCCCTTCCGTAACCGGAACACTTCGCCTCGCACTGGCTGGCACACATCGTTACGGTGGAGTTCACCTCGGGGCCTGGAGGGCAACTGGCATCAAAGCTCCCCCCCATGGCTGTGGAGCAAGCAGCTACGTAGCTGATAGCTGATGAGTCTAGATGAGTCCCAAGTCCTCCCACCAGATCCGAATTCGGCACACGGCATCACGTTCTTCTGTGGACCCCATTGGCTCCCCGTACGGCGCTCTGCCTGTCATGCCACTCACCGGGCAATCGATGTTGCCCACCCCTTGCAGCTCGCAAGGCGCACAGGAGGACTTGGTCGCCCCATGCTGATCCTGCGGGAGCCCAAGAAGTGGATGAACAGGCAGGACTGCAGTATAGGCCATATAGGCCTCCAACCTAATAGCGATGGACCTAGAAGCGATGGCCTCCAACAGAAGGTGGATGAACAGGCAGTATGGTTTAGGCTGTCCGGGCTTCCAACGACGCCTGGGATTTTTATCTTCAAGTTTATGCTTCATGGCAGTCCATCGGCGCATGTTCTTATTAGCAATGGCCACCTGTCTTTCTTCTTCGTGGTTCTTCTTTGGCTCCACGTCGGCCACTTCCACTTACGACCCCTCTCTCCGCCGAGCTCTACGCTGTCGTGATCAAGCCCACGAAGGTCCCGTGCGGCCCGTGGCTTCACAGGTGAATTTGGGGAAGGCTTGAGCTTCTATAGCACAGCATGTGGAGTTTTTCCGTGTCTCGGGGCAGCCGAGTTGCAGTGTCTCGGTTCCAATCTCCTCCGTCGGACGGGAACCGCGCCTGGTAGGTGATGAACATGCACTTGGAGCTGGTTTCATCGCCGCGGCCGAAGCAGGACGTCTGGCTATCCTGAGATGCCGAGCGAAAGGGGCTTTGGGCGAAGGTTATGGGGCTTCTTTTTGTCCAGAAGAACATGAGCAAAGCAGTCTCAGGAATTAGGTGACCCCAAAATGGCCCTCCGAAGCCTATTGGTTGCCAGCACTGTTGGCCACTGATTCCAAAAAGGGGCCATCCGAAACCACCGGGACGGGCCCCCTACCGTGACCGGGACGGGCCAAGGGTCGATGCCGGTGAAGTCGGTGCAGGAGTACTGCGGTTGCATCACCCGCTTCTGATGAAGGCAGGACATCTCACACTCCATGACCTCTTCAACGCGGGAGATGGGATGGTCAAAGGGTGTCTCTGCCAACGGACAGCGACCCGTGGTGTTTCTTTGGAGGTTCCCCGAGCCTGGCCGCCACCCAACCAGGCGCCGCTGTTCCAACAGGGCAGATCGACGCCATCCAGTTGGCAAGGCCTGAGAGGCGTTGTGTTTCTCGTGACCACAATCGATGTTGATGTCGTGGGTGCAGTGTCAATGGACCAAAGGAAATCGCCCTGAAGAGACAACAGACTCAAGCTTACGTGTTAGCTTACATGTTCGGATCTGGCTCAAGGTAAATATGGGTTGTGTGTGGCTGTGCACTTCTACGGGACTCATTAAAAGAGGTTTCGAAGCTTCTCGCTGTGTGAGCTGCGCTATGTGGATGTCCTCCCAGCCTGTGCTGTTCTACCAAATAATTGAACAATTACACTAGGAATTCAAGGTTAGCGGCCGTGGTTCTTGGTCAAAAGCCCATGGGAGTGGCCCATGTCAGCCCATAGCTGGGCCATCAGGCATGACCAATCCATTGTGGACCAGGCTCAGCCACAACTCGCCCAGACCCAGCCAGGTGGCATGCAAAAGGCGGTCTCCTTCTGCACCAGTGGGCGTGGATCATGACTGTGAAGCCTGACCCACATGCCTTGCATCGGGCCGGCCCGTCTTGCGGCCGTCTGACGTCGATTTGGACCGTGGCAGGATCAAACCTGAGCCCCACCTGGGCCGAATGAACACTACTTGATCTTAAATCTCCCACTCTGTAAACAGCAATGTTGGCCTGCCATGCCCAAAGATAGGAAACTCCAAGCAGTAAAGCCATCTCTCGGGGTGGCAAAGCTTATATCCTAACGTCAGAACCCTCCTCTTGTGCAGTCAAACTTGTCAAACTTTGACGCCGTCTTCCCCGAAGGCCGAAGTGGCCAGGTGCCTAAAACCAGGCGAGTGGAGAGGACGCATCGTTCCAACACCATGCCGGCGCACCGGCGGAAAACATGAAGAAGAGTCCGTTCGGCACGTCCGTTCGGAGCGTCACCTGAAGCTGCCATCGGACCTATTGGACAAGCGAGGGTGAGGTGGGAAAACCCACCCCACCGACCGTTCAAGAAGGCTTCAACCCAGGGAAGCTGGTGGCCGGACCAAGCAAGTCGAGTCCGTGAGAAGCTCTGAGGCCAAGCGACATTTGCGGTTTTCGTGGGTCAAACACCTGGCACCAAGGACAAGAAAGCTTAACCAAAACAACAACTCACCTTTCTCGCAAGCAGGACTGCCTTTCAAACACTCTTTTCGGATACAGTCTGCGGTGTCTACTAAGTGTACTTGCACACACTAGCCGACAAGAACACGATGAACATGCAACATCATCGTCCTCCAGCCACATCGCTGTAAACACGGGAAATGGATGGAAATGGTCAAAAACAAAACGTGAATCTGAATCCCGAGGCGCTTGTTCTTGCTGGCATGTTCTCCATCGTCGCCTTGGCTTTCGAAAGGCCGCAAGGTCAATCCGATCAAGCCATCACTCTAAGACTCTAAGAAGGATCCGTTTCCTCGGTCGCAGCTGACAGGTGCCTCTCTCTATCTCTTTTTCGGGGCATCGCTCTTGCCGGTGGCCTGTTCGTTAGCTGATCTCTCCGATGCTCACATCAATCGCCGCCGGGCTGTTTGGCCCATATGTTCAAAGTTGGACGACCCCATACATGTTCTTGCTCTTCTACTCCGACCGTGCAAAGAAACATGTCACTGAATGTTTAGCTGCTTTAGCTGCTTTAGCTTCTGAATCACCACCCCAAAAAAGGGGCCCACTCAGTTCAGGTCCAGTTGCAGTCATGTGCTCGTCCGTGCTCCAGGATCTTCGGCACGTTGGACACGCCTCGATTCACCGTGTACTCCGCCGCCATCAAATCCTCCCGTGGCTCGGGGAACTGCGGCAGCTCCGCCGGCGCCAGGAAGGGAGCGCCATCTGGAGCGGAAGACGGCGAGGACGGCGAGGACACCCCCCGAGCACGGAAGGAAAGAACAGCACGAAACACCGGCCGTCTGGACCCTTTCAGCTTCGTGTTTGGGGCGTTTTCTTTGGACATCGGGGGTTGAAAAGACTGAAAGTCTCCCAGCATTTGGTCCGAAGTCGAAGCATGTGACGCCTACTTCGACGGACGCGTGGCGGTGTCACCCACCAACCGGACCAACCCAACGCGCTGAGGCAACGGCTTGCTGGCGCCATCTGTTCGGACCTCGAGCGCCGCGGACGCGACGGTTGGCACTGGACGAGTCTGCTGAAGCTTTCGGGCGGAGCGTCTCAACTACCCCACGATGAAGTCCGAGCGGAGGAAGTCTCGAGAAAAAGGACTGGCGCAACTTTTTTCGTGGACAGAACCGGAAAAATGAAAGACCCCCCCGCAAAGAAATATCTAGCAACATCTTCCTTGGCAGTGTCAGAAAATGGGTGCGCAGCTACGTCGTGCGGTCCGGTCCGCACATGGCGCATGGCGCAAACTGCCCAGAACATGCTCAAGCAGCTCTAGGTGAGATTACTCGTGATCCATGTTGACACACCCTTGTCGCGCAGCTGACGCAGAGACATCCGCCGAAGCGCAGCTGCAAAACGATGCCATGGGCCAAGCCCAAGAAGGCCCATGCAAACCTCGGTAGCTGATCGAAGGATGTATCCAACACAGGTTGAGTGACCTGAACTAGGACCCTAGAGAGTGGGTACCGAACTGGGATAGTCTAGTTCGGGTTCTTCAACCGATGGGCTCGCCACCCCCAGCCGTCCCGGGGTCGTAGGGCCGACCCACGACGCGATCCGCCCCGGTACAGCGGGTACAGCGGGTACGGGGATTCGGGTGGGACTCACCAATCAATGTGGTAACAAAGGCAAACAACACAAACCTGGTTAGTATGATCTTTGCCAATCCGGTTTCGTGGTGTGCAGGTTGGGGAAACATCTATACCTTCTCGCACCGCTCGCGATCAGCCATCATCTCGAAGGACATTCACCAAACGGTCGATGGCCCTCTTTGGCTCCCCTGGCCCGTTCCGCGCCACAAACGCGCCCGCGCCCTCACCGCTGCCGTCGAAGAGCCACTTCATTAGTGTCATGCCCATCACCCCCGGCAGGGTGGCACCAGGGCTTGAGCAGAAGGAGGCACGAAAGGGCTTGGCAGCGTTTCTTGACGTGGCCCTTTTTTTTCGTGGGGCTTTCCGATTGGCCCGCCTCTCTGGCCCCAGGATGGTCGTTGTCACCCAAGGCCCATGCTTTCGATCTGGGAGGCCCAGCTGGATTGGTCTGAGAAAGAATTGAATCGATCCCCTCTAAAGAAGTGAGACAACCTCGGCTGCCATGCTTTCCTCACACGAAAGGGCATGGTAATTCGACCACCGATTTGTAAAATGACCTCCACTTGACCACTTGGCCTCGGTCAAGTGGTCTTTGGAAGATCTCTACCGCCCACCACACCTCCACTCGTCAACGCAGGCTCGCGTCATGCCATCCTGTTCTCCTTTCTCAGTCCCGCGTGCCATTTTGGCCAAAAAAACGAGAAAATCTTCCAAGGCGCATGTTCTGAGCCTCAGAACCAGGGGCAAAAAGAAAGCAAGACTCTAGCGCATGGTGTCTAGATGACTTAGCGCATGGTGTCTAAATGTGCTCAGCTAGTTCAGCTCGGCTGCCCTGCAGCCGGCAAGACTCGGCTAGGCGGTGCAACCGTCTTCCACCATTGCATCGTCTTCCACCCTTCAACTCTCATGGATGAAAGATATGAAAGCCTGCGGACGGCAAGCAACTCGCTTGTGGGTGGGAAGCAACTCTAGCTGCAACTCTGGTGGGCACCCTGCGTCGCCTGGGCTTTGCTCTTTGCTCTCAAACAGCGTCCTCTTTCTCGAATTGGTTGAGGGAACATCTACAGGGAACCCGCAGTTGTTTTTGGGGGTTAAGACAAAGAGTTCTGGTAGATGCTCCACTAAACCAATTCATTGACTTTCTAAACTGTGGCAAGTCATCTGGCATCACTGGCATCGTTGGTAGCAAAGCCTCTGCTCAGAGGGCGCATCACTCTGGACCTTCCAGTCTAGTTCCTCGCTGCCCGAAACACACGTCCAAAATATCTCTGATCACACGCCATCTGATACTCGTTGCATTTCGTGAGTATAAATGTACCAACATCCAGACGAAGCCTGGAAGAATTCCGGACCAAGACTCGGCGGTGAAACCGCTCGGCGTTCCCAGCCGCAAAGATTAAAACCCGCTCGGTTCTTCCGCTGTTGTCCCTGCCGTTGAGCCACACGGCACGCCGAAGACTGAGCTTCATTCAGCCTGAAACGAGCGCAGCGAGGTCACCCACTGGCTGCCTGTGGGTTCGGCCTAGTTTTATGCCTACAAAGTCCACTAGTGGTTCACTGGTTTGGTCATTTGGCATCTGAGAAGAAACCGAAAAATGGGATCCCCAACCGGCCAACCAAAGGAGTGTTCGACCTCACCTCACCTGAGGCCAACACACAAATCAAAGGCACCTTGGTGTTCCTCATGTGGAGGTTCAAGTGGAGTGAGTGGCGGCAAACCTCAGATATACCAAGCACCCGAGCCCCTCACGCAAGCCACTGCACAACCAAAAGCCCTACATCACTGGTTTGGGCAAGGGGGAGGACTCCGTGAGCTTCGGCAATGGTCCTGACCCTCAGCGGCCAAGGGGCTCAGCATCAAGTCGTCCCGTGATCAACAAGCGGACGTAAGGGTCCTCAGCTGCCAAAGATTGCAGCGCCATATGGCGTGCCGCATCCTCAGGTCGGACCGTCGATCTTCGAATCCCGACCGTGCTGCGCGGTGGTCTGTCTGTCCTCCGGTGGAAGAAGGTGTCCACCCATCCGACCGTCCACCGATTTGGGGCTCCGACGTTGGGGCGCTGAAGGATCGCATCGAGCATGTTTTTGTACGTGTCCCGCACGCGCTTGCGCGGACGTCCGCGCCGCTGGTTCGGGACGGCGAGGGTGTGATGACAAAAGGGGCAAGCGGGTGAGGTACATCCATAGCTGCCCGCCAAATAGACACAAGGATTGCACTTGGCATTGTGCTTCTTGTTCTTCTGGACAGCTATGGCAGCATCTGGAGTTGCATGCCTGGGACTTGCGGGATCACACGAACACGTCCGGGACGGGTGACAACACAGCTTTGGCCTCTGGTTCCCGGCCCCTCCCCCAAAAAAAGGGAAAACTCTTCGCTTCTCACCCATTCCAAGGGACAGCCCCTCCGTAACCTGAGCTTTCCCCGTGTTGGGCGTGTCGGCCGCTGGAAGGAGCGGCGTGTCGCCCGGAGACCACGAAATGCCGCGTGAGAAGGTGACGCTCTCCTGACGTTCGTCCAGTCTGATTCGTCCAAACCGGGTGCAACTGACCCCCTGACAAGTATTGGTTTTGTATATGACTGTATGATACCATCTCCAGTAAGATGAGGCCTTTGACTTGGACATCGAGGTCGCCGCTAAGGCACCCTCGAAGCTTCACCCGTTCACCCATCACAGCGTCCTGCTCGCGAAAGTCCAGAAAGGTGTTCTTGACCTGAATCTCTAGCTCCGGGCACGCCATGCCAGATGGATCTCCCTCTAAAATGGCGCCAGCGTCCCAAAACGCTTTTCAGCGCTTGGAGCGTCCGCTTGGGGCCCAACTGGCTGACACGTGACACGCAGTTCACATGCCGATTTCTCCGGGTCGTTGGGGCCCAAACATCGATGGCCCGGGTCGTCACCTCGAGTCTCGGGCGTTTCGCGTGCCCAAAAAAAACCAGACCTTGCAAAGCACAAAAACCCGATAGGGCCTAAAGGCCTAAAGGGCTAAAGGGCCCAAGGGCCCGCGCGCGCCGGCCGGTGTTTTTCCATCTCGGACTGGGTGAATTCGCCGCACGGCGCGGTGCCTCTGGACCACCTGGAGCGGGTACAGTGCCTCTGGAGTGATTTGGTGCTGAAGGCGCTGGGAATGGGGTTGGTAGACACATATATGGAAAGGACAGTTCTCCAACTTGTGGCTTTCAGGCCGTGCCCTCTTTCAGGCCGGATGCCAGGTCTGGCGGTTGAAGCATTCTCCACGTGAGTGTCTCCCTCCAAAGACTTTATGCTCGATCCATCCACTTTTTCTTATGATGATGGCCAAAAAGGCTGGTGATGGATTATTCACACAATTGATCTTCTCATCTTCTCCTTTCATTTCTTAGGGAAGACATCCTGACACCTTTCGCCCGCGACCTCCGCTGCCAGTCCTCTCTTTTTCTTCCTTTCGCCGGCGCCTTGCCTTTCCTCTTCGACCGCCGCGCGGCCGCGGGCGGCGAGGCCAACGACGCCCACACCGCCGGCACCGCCGGCGCGGCGGCGACGCGGCGCTCCAGGGCCACGAGGGTGGGAATCAGGCGCTCCAAGCCCAGGGCGGCGGAACATCCACTCGCATGGCAGCCCGTGTGGTATGGACCCATGGTGTCCTCGCTCGTTTCGGTGATAAGGCACGAAACGGACACGACACGGGGTGCAGGACCAAGACCGACCTCCCGGATCGGATCCCCAACGAAGCACCGGGGCAAGGGAAGCCCGTTCGCCTCCGTCCCGTCCGGGTGCGGTTCCAAGTGTCCAAGAGCCTTGGGATCATTGGAAGGATCTGCTCCTCCCATGTCAAACCAGCCCTGATCCAATAGAAGGATCCGGCGATGATCGTCCAAGCAGCTGCTGGGGGCAGCTCATTCCCCGCTTGGCCGGGGGGGCTTCAGCAAGGACCACACCTCGAAACGTGGCAAAACCAACGACGGTTGGTTGAATTTGTCAGGATGCGGGAGCCTCTGGCCCACTCCTGCACCGCAGCCAAGACCAACACAAAAGGAACCCCCCCTGCAATCTCGATTGGGCCGTAAGTACAGAGCTTCCAGTGTTTCAAGGGTTGGTTTCTCCGAAAGGTCCTCGATGGGCTGACGGAACACCAAGCTCCACCCCGCGTGGGGCATTTCTCGAAAAAGTTTCCGACGGAACTTCTGTAACCAACCCTTTGACCTTGGGGGCATCTGGCCACCCCGAAATTGAAGACCTTGCGTCCAAAAACTCGTGTGGTCTTTGGAGAACTCCGAATGCCAACGGCTGGGACATCCAAACACCCGCCACTCGAAGAAACATCTCAGAGAAAGAAGTGGGTGAACCGAGTCACCCGCCCCACCCGGGTGCCAAGGAACAAAGTTCATTTCTCTGAGAGCATCTGGGTCAAAGCCAAACTTCGCTAAGTCGAAGGCGACGTGCTCCGTTGGCCCCTCCTTTCTCCAGGTCAAATTCGTGGGCCCCATCATCCCCAGCATCCGGTCGCTCTCGAACTGCTGGAGGATCGATTGAACCACCTGGAGCCACCGAACCTCTCTGGCTCCGAGTGTTTGCCAAAAAGGTGAATCATGTGAATCCCTTTCAACCACCTCTTGAACTCTTGGACCAGATCCCCATGCGTGCCCAGCTCTCAGCTCTCAACCACTCCACGCACCCCCCAGGGAACCGCGCCGGAGACCGCGTTTCGGTTTCGGAAGGACGGAAGGACGCCGCCGCCTGGACGCTTCCGCACAGAGGTTCGATCATGAGATCCCGCCAGGCTTTTCTCTTCTTCGTGTGCAGTTTGAAGATCACATCACTCTCCAAGGAGAGCTCACGAGCTAAAAGCAGTTGCTGTAAAAAGATTCCTCGCATCGTCGAGGGAGAACTACGTCTTTCTGAAAAACGTGGAGCTTGTCTTTTCAAGCTGCACATGGGACCAAAACTCAAAGTATATATAAGAATTGGAACCTGTCATCCCAACCCAGAGAGCTGCTGACCAAGTTGATGTCTGCAACTGCAAGGCCCAAAAAAGAAATGTGAAAACGAAACACGTGAAAAGAGTTCAAAAGCATAGAAAACAACAGAAAAAAAAACGCCTCGCAGCACTCCCAAGCGTCCGATGTCCGCGCCGCGGTTCTCTGCCCGCGAAAGGACGCTCCAACGAAGAGATGCAAAGGCAGCTGCGCCCGAGGTGTTCGCTCTCACTTGGGCCAGCGGTTCCTTCAATGCTTCCAGTGGCTGTGTTGTGGTCAGGAGCACATTGACTGTCTTCTTCCTCGGATGCTCTCATTCAGAACGAACGTCACCAACCGTCTAACCAACCGACCAGTGAGGATCAGGCGGGAGCGACCCCCCCGATCGGCGAATCTGCAAGCATCTGCTGGTGTTTCGGAGGTGAACTGGCGACCAGAACGCCTCCGTCCTGAGAATGAAGGACACCTCACTTGGGATGAGTGCAGGGACCCCCTTTGTGGGCGTGTTTTTTCCGGGTACAAGTAAAAACTCCCAAGATCTTCTCCACAGCTCCAGGTGTCCCAGCTGCTTCCAACACCGCGCGGATGCATGGCCACAACTGATCCCAGCGACTTGGATCGTGCAGCTGCGCCAAGACGCCCACGCGAAGGCGTCCAGACTCTTCCCGATCGGGATCGGGATCCTCGGATCGCTTCCACGCGACCGGTGCCCCACACCTCTAATGTAGACTCTCGATTAATAACCCCACCATATGAAGAGGTGTTTCAATTCGGAGGGGGTCATCAATCAAGAGTCTACTTCTACATTACTGAGCTATAGCCCCACACCTCCAGCTACATGAGCTGAGTAGCCCCTCCACGCCAATTTCGTATGCCCAGGGGCGCTCTCCTCCAGGAAGTCCACGAGCTGCTGGACCCTGGTTCGCACCAGCTCCCCAAAGAAGCCACGGCTGCGCGCCAGCTGCCCGCCCGCGCGGCCCACGGCTGCGCGGTGGGAGAGCGCCGGGTCGTGCTCGGCCAAGGCGCTCAGCAGCGAGGGCCAGGTGGTGTCGTCCAAGGCGAAGAAATCCACCGAAGGCCTGGGAGACCACGGACAGGACGACGCTGGTAAAAGACATATGATACTTGATATATATACTATACCTCTTTGTTAGGGTAAAACTCTTTTTGCCACGGTAACTCAGCAACTGAGACCAACTCAGTTTGCTTGTTCCCATGGGGTTTCGGTGGAACCGAGCCGCGCGGCCGCGGCCAGGTCGTCGCGGGCGTCGGAGAAGACCGGGACGTCAAGCGCCTTGGCGAGGAGCACGTCGCGCTGGGCCCAAGCGGCGAAGGAGACCTCCAGCGGAGGAGGAGGAGGAAGAGGGACTTCTTGGATTGAGTAATGAATTTGGAGCTTTTTTTGAAAAAAAAAAACATGACTCAATCCAGATTTTTGTTGGCTTTCGATTTGGATGAAGGACGCCTTTTTTTGGGGTGGAGGCCATCGCCAAGTCGGTTGGAGGCCGTCGCTACTAACAAGAAGCTACTAGTAGCAAGACTTGATGGATGAACAAAAGATATAGACCAAATCCTTTAAAACACAAGTGGAAGAGAAGAAGAGTGTGCAGCGTGTCCGACTGTGTCTTGCAGGAGTAGCAAGGCCTCCAAATGGACGGGTGGGAGGGTTAAGAAGCTAGGTTTGGTTGTGGTTACTTCATTTAAGTTTAGCAACTCTAATCACAGGCAAGAGGTCACCTGCACCTACCAGCAACATGCGGCATATTCCTTTTCGCACAGCACGCCCGCCCCAAGAGTCCACAACCCCGCCAGTGTAGCTTGAATAGGAGACGCAGGAGACTCACCCGTTCGTCCAGTCTGACCCAGTCTGACTACGTTCGTCCAACTTACCTCCTTAAGTCATGTGGAACGTCCAGTCTGACCACGTCCAGTCTAGGTCTAGGTCCGACCTGTATGCATCCCTGTGCCGCAAAAGGCGCAGAAATATCAACCACAAAAAAGACAACAAATGAAACATGCAATTTAGAACTAATCACACGATTTTAGTATATAGCTCCTCAATATGTATCAATAGTATCTTTCCATGATCAGCTGCAAGCGAACGGGACGGGACATTTCGGGAAACTGCTGAACGATTGAGTTGGCCTCCTACACCTTCGTGCGCTCTCCACGCACCACTCACCGTGTGTCGAGATCGCTCCTCCGATCGCAAACTCGTGAAGTCCATTTCACATCTCGGGTGTCAGGCCTTCTCCGAAGAAGAAACATCACTCACAACGAGTTGGTTCGGGACTCGAAGGGTTCCTTTCCCGTTCACCAATGGGAAAAAAAACACGCCGCCCGCCCCTGCGACTGGCCACATGCACGTCGGCAGCCGACAAGTACTTCAGCAGTTCCGCGTAGTCTGTCAAGAGTAGAATGTTCTCATGTATCTTGGTGCCATGCTGGTCTGGGTTAGCTCCAAAAATGGCCACCAGCCAGGACGACGCAAACTTCTCCTCCGGCAACTGCGAGTCAAGCTTGAAATTCACAAACTATGCTTTGTGTGGTGACCCTGTTGGCTTTCTCCGGTGGCACTTACAAGGAGCATTTCTTCACTTGTGGAGGATTCCAGTTCTGGCGGTAAGTGCCAAACTACCAAGCCCATTTCCCTTCGGAATGCGATTTTTCCGATCATCCTTCTCCTGCAAAATGGCTGCCAAGCGCCCAGCCGTATCGACATCCAGCTGTGTTGAGCAAGACTCCGCTGCCATGATGGTCATCCTCACTGGACCCGTTGAAAAACATGAGAAAGCACTAAGGTTCAACTGCAGCTGCAGAAGCAAAGAAAAGACAACAACACGCACACCTGCGTTTCACAGTGTTGCTCTACCACTTGTTGGCGGATTTGTTAAGAGGGGCTGAAGGAGAATGGATCAAGCCGAGTGGTTACTTCCAAGTTCGGTTTTGATTCAGAGAAGCCTCCACGCAAAAAGAGCAAGTATATGTCGTCTTGCTTTTGTCTATTTGGACGGCAAGACTCAGTCAGTCACAACCCCTGGCAGCCCAGAAGCCACAAACCCGGTGTGTCACGAAAAAAGCTCAGCAGTATCGCTTCATTCTTTAAAAAGCTCAGCAGTCACGGCGTCTTGATATGGAGCAGTATGGAGCACTCCGGTTCACACGCTTTGTTCACATGCTTGTTCTTTGGGTGTCCGGGTGGACTTCATCGCACCCCGATGTAGAGGGGTCGGAAACTCTGGAAATGACGCAGACAAAGACGCCAAAAAAGATTAAACAAGGAAGGGAGACAAACAGTTCAAAAGCCAAAAATCATTGGCTTGTTCGGGATGCCTTCGTTGTCGTGGGCCCCAAAAGTCTGCCGCTTTGCGCAAGTGAGGCTCACGAAGTCCTGCTTCAGGCCCATCTGCTGGCGCACGTCCTCGCGGCTTGATCTAGGCAAATCCACCTAGGCACGGCATCTTAATTACGGGCATTCAGAGGAGATTCTCATCCAAAAGATTCATGTTCATGTCCTGCAAGTCTTGGGCGTGGATCGCCGATCGCCGGCGAAGGACATCGATGGAAGCTTCACTGAGGGCCCGGCACTGCGCAGGAACGCTCGGAAGGTGGTGACACGACCGGTCGCTCCGCGTCCGCGCGGGGCGACCGGGGCCCGACGCGACCAAACCTCTCGGTCCGCCTCGCGCAGAAAAAGCACCTTCAAGGGCCAAGGGGAGATCAATGGAGATCGAATGCGCGTCCGTTTGGCATCCAAACACGAGAAACAGCATGCAACGAGAAGGGGCAACATGTACATTTCATGGTCCCATCATGCCCCATCTACTTCCGGAAGGCAGGATGATGAAAGTATATCAATGGTCGTAGATCACGGTTCGGGGTTACACCGGGCTCGGCCGCATGTCTTGAACCTTGTCGGCGTTGGCCATGGCCGCTCCCATGTCTTGCTTCTGCCCCCTGTCCTCAAAGCAACGCCAGGCATTCTGCCCCACATGGTCCACATGGTCAGCTCTTGGAAAAACCACGAGGCCCCCACGTGGTCTGCCCTTCTACTCCGAAATCGGCTTTGTCTTCGTGTGACAGCGATGGATGACATGATCTTTAGGTCGGTCGACGTCGTCGCGTTCCGAGTCGAGGCTCCTGGACGCACCGCACCGCGGGCGCCTGGTAGACGTACCACATCCATCGCACACCGGACGAGCGAAAGCTCGGCGTCGCGAAGAAACGGCTCCAGCGGCTCGAAAAGCAAAGGATCCAGCGGCTCGAGCCCTCGGTCCCAAGGCTCGGAAAGAGGCTCGGACCGTCGCCGGAGCGTCCGTCGTCCAGGAGCGTCTTCAACTGGCCGTTGAGGCGACACGGCAAGAACTCCTTCAGTGCGTCCAGCTCGGGGAAGTCCTCGGCGCTCTCCACGTGGACCTCGTAGCCCAAGCTCTGCAACTCCAGCCCCAGATTCAACACCAAGTCCTTGCACCGCTCAAGGCAACCTAAACTAAAAACAACATTTGGACCCTGCTCAAGAACAAGAAAGGCCCCCCTACTGAACATGAGTGATGCGTACGCTTGTTTCTCTCCCGGCTTCGAGGTTCACCAGCCGTTGGAGGATTCAAATCGACTCGCGTCCGGACCAAACTCAAGACATCAACATACTCCCTGAAACGATTCTCGAAGGGAACAAGGTTCGCTACGTTCGGGGCTTCTGGTCATACTACTAGGAACAAGAAGCTACTAGTAACATGAGAGATTGAAAAAAGAAAGGGGTGTCGCATCCGAATTCGCCAAATCTCAATCTCTCCGCGTTCCATCGCTGTCACCCAGAACGCCACGGACCGCCGTGACGCCCCGCCCCACCGCGCGGGTGGAACACCGCGCGGCGCGGGACCGTCGGCGGCGCTCGCGGTGGCGCTGGGCGTTCCGTGGTCTGCCGTCCACAGGACCCAAGAAGTCCAGAGCAAAACCACGGCGACCGGCAGAAGCAAATAGAAGAAGAGCCGCGGAGCGCATCGACATGGTCGGGCCATGGGCGAGTCATCGGGTCATCGGGTCAACCCGAAACGGTCTTGCAAGGACCCTTTGGAATGCTTTCAAGGCGCTTTTTGCCACAGAAAGCCTGCATGACTCCCATATAGGTATCAGTAGGGTTTGGAAGCAATTGCATGACGGTTCAGACTACGATTGGGGCCACATGTTGCGGAGGCTGCTTTGAAAACCTCAAGGCTCATTCGTTGGTTCTCAGTGTTCCCACCGGTGATTGCATGTACAGGCAATGGAGATGAAAAAAAGGGGACCTACTTTGGGGTCGCACTCATGCCGAGCCATGTCTACGACGCGCTATGCCCTCAGCCCAGACTGCTCAAGCTCGTCCGAACACGGAAGGCCGACCAAATCGTCCAAATCTGAGCAAATCCAGCCTTCCAAAGGTCACAGGCGGCGCTCGATCCATAGCACCGTGTGAGTCAGTGGGCAGAAAAAAGGAAAAAGAAACTAACGCCCGCTGCTGCGCCCGCTAGTGCTTGAGACTTCTACTCCCAAGAATCTCAGCTGTCATGTGTGGAAAGCCGGTTCCCTTGGAACTCCACAAACTCTTGGGGCATGGAACTTGCAGAAATTTCAAGATGCAAACGGAAGATGCTGCATCCCAGCAGCGAATTCTTTGCCGTGCTGTTTGGGTTGATTCAGAAGGCTAGGCTGGCCAAATTTGCAGTTTGCATCGCAAGTGTCAACAATCCGAACTGTAAGCATCATAGTTTGCATCGTCAATACTTGGATGACGTTACCCATTCGTGTCTTCCCCTCTCTTTCTCCCCTTCTCCCCTCCTCCTCCTTCTTACTGCACATGAAGCATCGAGGTTCGAACCTTTCCACAGCCCCCTGCGTCGGCCCACGGACCGACCCCAGGACCTGACGTTTCCAGCCGTTTTTCTGCTGACAGTTGGCCAGTTCGATGGGTCCAGCGTTTCTGAGACACCACCGGTAGAGCAGAACTCTCACGCCGTCAAGTGACCGTGTCAATCAAATGATCCTCTTCATATGCGAACCACATGAGTCCAGGCCCTTTGTCCTGGGGTCGGAAACTGAACCATTCACAGTCACATAAAAGAACGCGCACGCCAATCTGTCGACACAGAAAGCGATAGGCCGTCGAAGCCAACCAGTGGTTGTAGAGCCCATTCTTCCGCTCCACCGCCTCGGTCCCCCCCCGTGCGGTCCGTCGCGCGCGGGCTCGACCTGGGCATCTTCCAATGTTTGGTGACGCATGTCTGCCTTTTTCATCCAACATCAGCCCAGACGTTTGGCAGATATGATTGGAAGATCCAGGTCTTTGAAGCGGAACCTTCCAACCCATACCCGGCAGCTGATCTGCCCTCCTCTTGGGGGGGTGAGGGCTAAGTTCCCCAAAGTGGCAGTGAAGTACGCTGGACCTGATCGAAATCACCAAGTAAGACCCTCTCTTGTGTGGCTAGTGTGCGAGCGGCGGCGAGCACACTTTTCTATGGCACAGAGTGCAAATGAATTAAGCAGCAGCTGACTGAAGAGGAGGTATGTACAAGTAACTATGGACAACAGGTGCTACACACATAGCGTAGTGCTTAGCGTAGACACGCCTAGGGGAACCTAGGACAATACAAAACACAAACAGACAAAAATTTTCTTCGTCGAAGCTTACGGCTGCAAAAGCACAAAAGGGTGCAAATGAATTACAAAAGTTCTGGCATCGCAGAACTTGACCGTAGATGCCATTCTGGCCCTTAAAGTAAGTCTATGACGTCAGACAATCTAAAGTTCTCATCGAAAGGTAGAGTGTACAAAATCTACGAAAGGCAAAATTATCAAGCTGTGAAATCTCCATAATGTCGGAGGATTTTCAAGTTCTATCTGAAATCTTTAAAGTCTGTTCGAGTTCAGAGGCTAAAGGAGTTTTCAAAATCTAGTTTAAATCTCATCTGCTGCAACTCTCTCTATGCTCAATTGCCCGAATGTCGACAATTTGGACGTCAATTACCATCTTCTATAATACCCTCGGTATCCAGTGTCCCAATGGGGCTGATGCCATGAGGAAGAAGAGGCAGAGGATTGGCACCAATCTTGCCGTCTCCACTGGGACCGTTCTTTGTCCTTCTGTTTTCTGTATACTGTGCAGAAGCATCACTTCGGACTCGAACGATGGATCTTGCAGCAAGCTGGAATGTACACTGAAACGGATGATGATAGGCTTCGTCGCTGCTCTTTACGCAAAAATCTAAATGGTTCAAATGTTTCAGGTACTCATTGACCTGAATGAGGGCTTCTTTCTGACGCGGTGGCCCTTCGTATCCAATACGGGCCTTTGTCTTCCGGAATGTCGGATGACCTCTTCACTAGCGTGTGCATGTCTTTTTCATAATTCAGCACAATCTGCATAAGGCAGGCTGCATCGGCATCTCGTCCGGCTAGTGCCGAAAGCTGCTCGGTGACAAGTGTGGAGACCTCCCAGTTGCAGGTAATACATTGGTGAGGTTCACGCAGCTTATTGGCAGAAACTAGGATCTGGTCTAAATGGTAAGGACGGAGCCTGTCGCCGGATCGTAATGTCGATCCTGCTTGAACTGCCTATGAGTGAAGAGGTTCGCGTCACAAACTATGACGTCCACCTGGCCCGCAACTGCCGTCACCAGAATCTTGGTGAGCACGCCCTTCCCTGCTGTGATGCAGCCGTCAAATGCGGCGGAATTCAAATGGGAGGCGCAAACCCTTAACTCAGGGAGATGCATTCGCTTGCAATCAGACAACCTACCAGTCCGTCGGCCTTTCTCGGCAGGATCTTCGCCATCCTCAAGCGCCTTGCGAAGATCTGCGCGGACTTCTTTATTGGTCGTAATGCGCCCATGGGTTTCCTCATCGACCTGGCCTCAAATAACTCTAAAAGTTGCCGCGTGCGCAAGCCAACCAAGGCGATCTGAATCAAGTTGAATGCGGCGCAGAAGCTCAAGCCTGGACGTAATGTCGTCCGATGAGCATACACAAGCGATCGGACGCGCTGGCCCGTCAGGCAACAAGGCACATCTTATTATACTGTTGGAAAAGATCGCTGTGTCTCTCCAGGCGTCCTGCTTCAAGGAGAATCGTGACATGTGCAGTATTGCGAACCAAATAGTGTGGCAGAACCACATATTGGTCGCCTTCCTGGAGACTTCGGGGCAATTGCTGCTTCATTAAAATGAGGAGGACGGTTAATGTCACCCAAATTCAACAGCAAAACAGGTTGACCGCAGGCAGTTTCGCGTCCTCCAAATTGAAGTCGCCTTGGTTAGCACGAAATCCTAAGGTCGACTATGTGACGCATCTCATCGCCAGAATATCGGCGGTTCTGGTCGTAGAAGCAGCTAGGTCGGACAATAGGATATGGGGCGACCTCACTCTGGGTTATTCCAGTGCTCAACGATGGATGGCACCTCGCTCGTAAGGTGGATTATTACTGTAGTGATACTTACCGAGCCTTCCAAAATGATCCGGTCCATGCAGTGGAACCACCGCCGGGCACCAAATTCTTCATCTCTCTCAGTCGTCGGCGGGTGCAGCCAATCTGTCCAGAGGAGTCCATCCTTCTTCGGATTCGGGAGCAAAAGGCGTTGTAAAACCGATCTCTGCGGTAATGTCCTCCCGTTCATCCTCGCCCAGCGGCGCCGGAATGTCGGCATCTGGGGCTGCGCTTACATTGGTTAGCCTTGTCATGGAAGCAGTCCAAGCAGGTACCGTGGCCACAAGCGCGACAGAAGAAAAGAACTTCTTCAAGACTGCAAGTTGCACACATAGTGTCTGGCTGCCTCTAGTATTCAATCGGTTGCTTCTGGGCATCGGCGATCACTTCACGCGCTCGCGATGTGGCCTCTGGTTCATAATATTTTGTCTCCGGACTTTGGAGGACAAGGACACACGGCGTCGACCTGCTGAAGGCGAACGGCTGGGTTCCAAGAATCGGTCTGCTTTCTTAAGGACAGTGCGCGTTGGCGTGCGAGACCGGGCACGAGAGGCCCAAGTTCGGGAACCTGCCTCTTTCTCCTTCTTGACTGCCTCGGATGCTTTTCACCGGCCGAAGGTGCCGAAGAACTGCCCGGAATGATGTCGGACTTCTTCTCACCTTTCTTGGCCCAAACTCCTTTCTTCCTGGCCCCCGCGAGGTCGTCCATCAATTTGATCATCTAGTGTGTCGATGACTTGTTGGTCATCTGCATCGTCGGCCGGAACGCCAGCATCGACGTCCATGGCATCATCTTCCGTAGTTTCGGAAAGAGTCCTTTTCTTGAGGCGACGGAGATATCTGTCTCTTGATCGCGCCATTCGTCGTTAACACTGAGGTAATTAAGCCAAGTCTCGGCAGCGATCTTCGACATGCCATGGCGCTGGTGGCTGTCAAGCTCATCTTGCTTCTGAGAGCGCCACTTCTCGATCTCGCGGATCTTGCAATTCTTAAAGGCCAGCCTCCGGGCCTCGATGCTAAACTTGTCATGGCCTTTAGTGGTGAGCCTGAGGACCTCACAGTAGAACTGACTGTAGAAACGGAGGTAGCCCTCATCTTCAACGCTCATTGCCAATCACTGTCTGTCTCTAATGTTCCAGGTCAAAGAAAAAATGCTTGCTGGAATGGCTTCTCGAGTCAGGAAATAACGGTTCTTGCTTATTAGGCAGAATTGGATGCGACGGTTTTGCTCGAGAGTGGCCTTAGAGAGGACAAGGGCCACGTTGGCAGTTGGACGAATTGTGTTCCTGACTCAAGAGCAAAGCATCAATCGGAAGGAAGTGATTCATGTTTCGCAGCTTTGTTTCTGAAGTGTTTCCTCCCTGGCATAATAGGCCATTCTGGAAAATTGACTTTAGATGGCGGAACTCCGTCATGTGCACAAGACTGACCGGAATGTCAGACATCTGGCACTGCTCAATCTTTAAGGTGGGCGCCGGACTGTCGGCTCCTCCAGAGTGGATGGATACAGCTTGCACGAAGACGTGAGCGGCTTTATGCTGCTTATATGTCGAAACAAACGACCGCCGCTCTTCGGCATTGCTAGAAGCTGGGTGAATCCATGCACTTGTCCTATCAATACGCCTCTCGCCACTCTGGTGGTCGCTCACCGACAAGGGTGCAATCTGGTAGCGGCCCTTCTGGTTGTGATAGATTGTGAAAACGAACGGAAGCAGCATATTTATAGTCCCTTGAGAGTTTCCATGCATCGCTACTTCCACTCACTCAACAAGAACTTAAACCGGGCTCCTGCCATCAGTTCAAAGACGGTTAAGGACTTGTCATTATCAATGTCAGAGGATCCGACTGAGTTCCTTGAGATCTTTTCGTAAATAAAGTTTGCTGCGTTTTGCTTCGTTCGCTGTATGGCGGCTTCACTGAGATTAAAGAAACCCGACCAGATCCGCCAGAGAGGTGCTGGAATCTTGCGGCCCATGGTCTCGTATTGCTCAAGCTAAGCTGATCTCTTCTGTTCGTAGCTGGTGGAGCTTGAACCATAGAATTGCAGTCGCAGACACAAATTTTCTTGAGACAAAAGTTAACAAAAATCATGTTGCATATATGAGCGAATACACATCGCCTGAAATATCTGCATCAAATAATGTTCACTCGGTTGAACGCCTTGTGTTTCACGAGTGTACGGAAAGGTTTGTGTGTATCAACCTGTCGGAGTATACCTGTCTCAATACTTCTTACCAGTTCGTCCGGTTTAGCAGTATGTTTGGTAAGAGGGTCAGCGAGACAGAACTCGCTCGCAACGTGACTTAAATCGTCGATGTTACCAGTGTTACTCTCGTGTCTGAGCATTTGGATAAAGTGATGTGTTTCTTTCTGCTCTGAAAGATGTGTAGTTTGCGCAGTGGTGACTAAGTTGTTTGCGTCCGTTCTAAGGTGAATAGTAGGAAGGATCTGACCACTGACATCAGCCCAGAGAGCACGAAGAAAGAGACAAGTACCAAAGCACTTCATCAGGGCTTGAAGTACAGCGACCGTGGTGGACTGAGTCGTCGTGGTAATCTAATGACTCTATGATGGAACCACGTGTTGCTGCACTATCCTTCTTCTCGTAATGCCAAGAGTTGTACTTTCTTTGCCTCTGGACTGTCTTCTTGAATCTCTGGCGCAATCTCCCCTTTGCAGGAGAGAAACATGAAGTCTGCGCAAACCGTTGTCTCCAAACCTCTGTTCGTCTTCCGACGATGCTGACTCACACCTTTCGCCTTGATGCAATCTGGGCAACTCGGATGGAAAGGATTATGTCCTTTAATCCGATGGATCTGCAACTCCTCCGCTGAAAGTGGTCCCACAACCCTTTTCAAAGCATTCAATTGAGTCCCCAAAGACGAATCTTCTGTTTCCCAAACTACTTCAGTTCCATGATATGGGAAAACACGAACCCAAGGCGTTTCACACCACATGAGGGTATCAACCAATTGAATCTTCCACTTGTCATGAGACATTTCAATTCCTTCACCAAGAAAAATCTTCCAGCCCTTCTTACCTAACTGGCAAGTAGAAAGGATGTTATACGGGCTGTCTCCAACCAGAACCTGCACCTGGAACACAGCACTTCTTTGTTTCCCGTTTTCATCCTTGACCTTCACCCCAAGAGCGACATTGCACGAACCGTCGAATCGAACTTTCGAGCCGTTTGCCGCCTGAAAAACCTTCTCAACAGCCACCACCGGGGGGATTCATGAAATTCCTGCAAACATTCTCTGTTCACCACATGAGTTGAAGCTCCAGAATCGATCCACCAAAAATGCTTGTCCAATTCCCCTTGAAGAGAATGTGAAAGAGGTTGTATCGAACCCCCAGTCCGCGACGAATTCCGAGGGGAACCCGACACCGAAAGCCAAAACCTGCGCGGTGACTCCGATAGCGACCCCGAAGGTCCAACCACCAACTGTTCTCCCACACATCGACTCGAGGAACCAAACTGCATCGTTTCATGGTTAGACTGCAACTCCCTTTCATTCATGTCTTTGAAAAACACAGGCGCCAACCCGTTTCAAACTCGTCATCAAAGAACCAGTAAAGCGGGTCCCAGACACATGTCTCCTCAGTGTTGGCCGGACCCTGCACATCGCCCTCCAAAGCTCCCCAACACATGCGGGCTCAGCCATGCCAGATGTTTCACAGGGAGAACCCCCCAAATGGCTCTCAACTGCATTATCGCCCGCAGACATGTCGAAGAACTCAGGAATGGATCTGTGATTGTCACGCGTATTGGGCTCATTCATTTGATTCACATCACAGGAGACACAAGCTGTCAACATCATGACCTCATGCTCCTCTTCAATCACAACAGTGTCACCCGCTTCCGTTTCTTCTTCATCAACACTGCTGTACCACCATTGGTCCGTTTCCTCATCCCAAACACAAAACAGTTTGCCTGTCTTGGATTTTCCACCTTTTCCTTTTCCTTTGGGGGAGGGAGAGCCTTTTGAACCCTTACCTTTAGCACTGCCTTTCTTCCACATCGACGAATCGTTGCTCTTCGACGAACGAACCGAGTCATCGTCCTTCCGTTTCTGCTTACAATTGAGGGAGATGTGACCTTGTGACCCACACTTGAAACAGGAAACCGTACACTTACTGGTCTCGTGACCTTTCTTGTCACATCTAGTGCATTTAGCACCCTTACCAGATTTATCCCCGGGAAATGTCGCACGCAAGTCCCCGTCCAAGTCCTCCCAACAGTCATCATCGTCCCCCTGTCCAAACTGCTGTTCCTTAGAACCACTAGGCTGTTCTTCCTGAAGACCGAACAACCGCCTGTTGCCTTGAAGTTCCATGAACAAACGATTCTGTGTTTCAAACTTTCGCGCAGCGCTACGATATGCACTATAGGATTCACCAGAAGCATGCATCAAGCAATACTGTTTCACCTCCACCGGAAGGCTTCGTACCAACAACAACAGTTGATCCGAATGGCTGATAGACAAACCGGGCACGTCTCGAGGATCCAACGTCGACACCAAACGCTGAAAACGTGCGCAAGAAATCTCAACCTGCCGAATCACATCTGACACCTGTGCAGAAGACCTCAAAGCCAACTGAGAAGGCTGATACACTTTCCCCATCAAGGAAGCACGCAACGACAAAGCCTCACTGCGAGACCTCAACGAAAACTCACGAGTCAACTGCCGCAGCAGTTCAAATCCATTACTGTTGTAAGCCGTCGAACTTCCAAACGAGTCACTGTCCGAAGGAACGATATCGAGGCCCTCTGAAAAACCTTGGATCCAAAGTGCAATCCGTCCATGATCTATACATGCTGTTTTGATAACCGAAAACAGTCTTACAGCTCTAATTTGCTGGTGGCTCGACAGTACCGACCAACTGATAGGGGTCATCCACCTTGAACTCTGATCAATTTCCCTTCCAAATTCTGGGGATTCCAAGTTAGCCCACGAAGACAACTCTTGAACATAACTCGACCACCCCAAAATCTCATCTTCTCTGTTCTTCCATTCTTGATGGCTCAATTTTGGTGGGGCTGAAAGACATTTTTCACTTTTCGCAAAAACATCACGTTCATCACCGTGATTCCCATTGCTACCGTTACCCATTCCAGGCCCCGGCACTCGCCCGATTGGCTCAGGCACCACAAAAGGCGCTTGCTGTCCCTGCTGAACAGGGTTCATCTCTCTCTTCGGCCAAATATATGACATGTGTAGGCTGACTGGACTTGGCACTATTGTTCCGCTACTACGTTGATGACCCTTAAGAGGCCAAAGACGAGCATCTACGTATTGGCTCTTCATGGTGCGGACGACCTTGTTGATCTCTCGAACATCTTGATCTCTCGAACATCACCGACGGTTGGACTTGAAGCGGCGGACGCACATCGGGAAAACTTGTAACACAAGTGGACTTGCATTCGACTCTGCAGCCAATTAAGTTGGCCTAAGACAGAGCGATAAGCAGTATGCATCTGAGGATTACAAGTTAGATTGTCCTTTCGATGTTTTTCATTCTTGATTTCCTCAACAGCACCTACAGCAAAGACATGTATGGTCCGTGCTTGTCATGAGTCTTCCATCGACTGCGTTGACCAACAAACATGATGCCATTCTTGTCCCCTGACCCTACCTTGAAGTCCTTTCTAATGTTAGCTAGCACCTCGTCTGCAAAGACCTTGTCTCCGGCCATGAACAGGTCATCAACATGGAGACAAATAAAGCCATGTTGCCTTTGGCCTTGTGCATTGTTCTGTGCTACAGGATCTAACAACATGTCAAGGGCTTCTTGGACTGGATGAGACGAAGTGGAAGATCTCCGGTACGTCGGAGTCTTCTCGGACAAGGACGAATCCTTTGACGACATCGATCTGCACATCGATCTGCACGAGTGGGCACAAGTCCATAGCTGAGGAGTGCCTCATCGACAACCTGCCACCATCTACGAGGCGCATCGTTCAGCCGTAAGCGGATTTCTTCATCTTCGCTCCTATGTGCGGTGGATATCCGCATGCAGCTGGGATCTGGCATATGACATCTCTTGTTTCACCATATGCTTCGCCTTGCAGAAATGCTGTCTTCAGGTCCATGTGATATAGATCCCATCAAAGGACGAGGGAATCTTTGGCGTCATTCTGACAACTGGTGCCGGTTGTGTTTCATAAGTCCGGAATGTCGAACCTGAGGATCTGGACTGCTGGGAACCTTGTGCAGCATAAGCTTCCTCTGGTTCCGACTCTTCCTGACTATGCTCTGATTCGTTGTCCGTAGCTATATTAAAGGTCTGGACCATGGTCAACTACTCTTCAGACAGGTGGGCTACTTGGTTGTCTCCTGTCCGTAATGTCGGACAAGCCTGCACGAAGCAAATTTGACCGTGGCGAAGCAGGAGACACAAGCTCTGCTACCACTTTGAGGGGTAAGTTCCCCACAGTGGCAGTGAAGTACACTGGACCTGATCGAAAACACCAAGTAAGACCCTCTCTTGTGTGGCTAGCACAGAGTGCAAATGAATTGAGCGGCAGCTGACTGAAGAGGAGGTATGTACAAGTAACTACGGACAACAGGTGCTACACACGGATAGCGTTGACATGCCTAGGGGAACCTAGGACCCTACAAAACACAGGGGGGGCCCAACCTCGTCCCCCAACCCTCGTCCGCTCCCTCAGCTTCGTCCCCCAACCTCGTGGAACCGGGTCGTCTGCGACGGGGAACGCCCGGGCCTTGGAGTAGAGCTCTCCCAAGAGGCCGATGTAGACGTTCATGGCCACCACGGTGACGACTACGCTCAGGACCATGAACTCCTCGGCGTTGGAGTCCAACCACCGGAGTTCGGTCCCGGTCGCTGAGGTGGACCACCGGGGGTGACAGAGCGGTCTGGGAGGCGTTTGGTGTCTGACATGCCGGGACTCGAAGCGTAGCCACCGGTGGATATTCGTATGCGCGTCCTCTCCCATCTTACCTGGCGGGGAGGAGACTTGTGGCTTTCGATAGTCTTCAGACGTGGCTTTCGTAGGTCAGTCAGGAGTCCACCCACGCCCACATTTGGAGACAGAAGCGGAGCAAAACGATGCTGGCCAATCACCCAAAAACATGGCAGAAAGAAGGCCGCCCCCCCCCCAAAAAAAGAACAAACAACAGAACCGACCGCGTCCAAAAAACGTTCCACTGGCGACCGTCGTCTTCCGTCCGACCCGCGTCCGACCCGACGGGCTCCGCCGGGCTCCGCGACCGTCGTCGTCCGCTCGCCTTTGAAATAACCATGGGTGAAGTTGCCCGACAGGCGCTCGCCCAGGCCCTCGAGCTCCGCTAGGTCGAAGTCGCCCAGGAGTTCCAAGCGGAAGATCTTCAGGAAGCCTGCTGACTGGCGCGGCGCGCCGGCGCGCCGGCACCGGAGGTGCGGAGGCCAATTCCAAAAGGACCGCGTGGCTCAGTGGTGCCCAAAAAAGGCCACCTGGTTCCCTGTTCCCTTTTCGCTCGCTCGCCCCCAGGGACGCGCCGTTCAACACGTTGTTGATGCTGCCGACGTTCTCGGAGATGGGGAAGACGAAGTAGGCATGGAAGGAGGCCATCACGCCCAGCATGAGGACCAAGATGAAATTCACCCTCAGCCGCTGAAAGCCGCAGCGACTCGCGGCGACGTCTGACCGGACGTGGAATGAGTCGGGCGAATCGGTGAGGACCAGAGGGACAGGAATCTGGGGAGTCACAGCTGTTGCAGTCACAGTGGTGAATGTGTTCGTGGCGTGCTGCTGTGGCCCATGGCCAGCTGCATGGTGGCGAACTGGGGAACACGAGGTGCCCCATCTCCGTGCCCCATCTCCGGCCATTTCTCCAACAAATGGCGCACATGGACATCCAAATCTTCTGAGACTCCCGCAACAAAAACACCACACAACAGCAAAAAGACAAGAAAGACATCCGACGATGCGGAAGCCAACACCTCACAGTACCAAGGCTCGAGGCTGGGCGGGTCACTGCGTGGAAGACCGGGACTACGTTCGAGCCAACCCCCTCCAGCTGACAAACACTGAAGAGCACCTGACGGTCACAGCTGTCAAGCACGGGGCACCTCTTGGTCAAGGCAACGAACAGCTGTCAAGCTGTGAACATGGAATGGGCATAAAATGGGGTATTTGCCATTCCCTGTAGTAACAGTGGATGCTGATGGTTCAGTTGCTGGCCTTTCCCTAAAAGAGTGGCAATGGTTTAATGAGACCAAGCCAGCGCCAGCTAGAGCCTGAGGTCCCAGAAAACAGACGTCACCAGCACGCGAACCCAGCCGAAGTGGAGCTTGGAAGGTGAAGATTTCAGCTCTCCGCAAGCTGAGACAAAGGGAACGCAACTGGAGGCCTAGGACCTAGGCATCGAGAAGGCCGGGAGAAGGGTTCCCAAGGTTTCGTCAGAACAGTTGAACCGTCGGCTTATGGCAATATATTGGACCCCTCCTGATGTTCATGTATTTCCCGGAGTGCCCATCTGAGTTTCACATCACAACGCATCTTCGTTCTTTACGACGCATCGAAACGAGTGTTTTCGGCCTGCATCCAGCGTGTGAGCACCAGAGCTGATAGGAAGCCAGGATGTTTCTGGAAGAGCTCCTTACGGTTTTCAGCGAAGCGCGGTGGCTTTTTTGCACGGAGGAAGGGAATCATCTCCTGACCATTCTCACTGAGTTCATTGAAGACACTGTAGCTTTGCTCCCATGTCCTCCTTCGCCTGTTTAACGCCAGATTGGTTCGGAACATGTATTGGGCTCCAGAAACCCAAGGTCGTTTGAAACCCACCAGCCATGCTCTCCGGCTGACAAACACGTTCTTCGGATGGATGGACTCCACGTGCCGCCGGAGGAGACTTCGGCTCCCCCAAAGGGACACGTTCCGACGGAGCCGTTTCCTGCCGTTTTCTGGTTTTTGGGCGACTGAGCCGCAAATGGTTGACACGGATTGCGTCAACCCATGTGGACAGGCCTGGCCAGGCTGTGTCGCGTTTCGTCGCGGTTGCTTCGGGTCGAGATCGGTTTTTCACGAACGCCGTGCGGCCCAGGCTTGGTTCGTTTGAAAGCCGTCGCTGGTGCCATAGGCGATGAAGCGACACCTCGGTCGACATGTGGCATAGGCTGCTGAAGAGGTGGGGCCAAAGCAAATAACATTAGGGGCCCAGGGGGGTCTCCAACCAACACAAAAACAGAGATGTCAGAGGTCAGGTGCCTTCATCTACTTCGTGTGGAGCTCGCCACATTGTGGCGGTGTGGACACCCGTGTGGACACCCATGTTCGTTCCCCTAAACGAGCTGGTCGTTCTCGACGTATGACCCGATCGACCGCCTATCAGGCCCAACTCGTCAACCGCCCCGTTTGCTCCATTCGAATCCCGTTGAACTCCTGCCATCTAACTGTTGAACTCCTGCCCCGTTCGCTTCCCTTGTAACGACGCTTGAACCGCAAGGCGGCCGCTTCGAATTCTGCCACTTTACCGGACTCCGTGACCCAGTCACCCCACGTAGACGGAGAAGACTTCAATCGCAGAAAGCGCCACCGTATAGAGGTCCCTGAGAGCACGGTCGCAGAACGAGCTGCAAAGACGAACGTCCGTCAAAAGGCAACTCCTCAATGACTTTGGTTTGGTGTTTCTTTGGCGAACAAACGGAGATCGTGTCGCCCTGGCGAAGTTGGAGAAACTGTTGCCCGCAAGTTGGAGAAACTTATGATGTCCTCTCTGCCTTTCAGACTTTGTCTTCTTCCCTCTCACTGTCGGCGGCGGACCGGCGCAACCGGCGGTGGTCTCGCCAAGACTCAAGTGCTTCAAAAGGCCCACGGCCAAACCAGCCCTCGTGCCGCGGAAGAGGTACATCCCTGACGACGTCACGAGCTGGCCGTGACCCTGTGGGGACCACTGCGGACCTGCTGTTGGCCGGTTTTTTTTGCGGCATCTCGTGTCATGACACGACCGGACCCCATGCTGCAAAAGTGGGATGATGATGGATGATGCTTGACGCACGCCTTTCCACGGCCATTCTCTCTCAAAGACTCAACTGGAATGGCACAAACAGAAATGAACAGAAATGAAACCATGACATTTTTACATGAGTTCATCACAAGAACAAGAACACCACACATGTCCTTCAACAAGAAGCTACTAGGGGCTCCTGGCCATACTACTACGAACAAGGTTTGCTATTAGAAACCAGAATGAATCACTACCCATCGGAATCGGGTCCAGCAAGTGCCTCCGCCCAGCTTTAAACAGAGCGATCCAGTGATCCAGACACTCAACGCTGCAAAGAGCTCGATCAGCGGAGTCTCCGGGTACGTGTGATTCTCCAAATTGAAGGACATGCCTGGGGCTGGGAGGGACATCGCCGATTGTTCCATCAAAGGATCGCCTGGAAGCGGTACAAACACCCCAGCCATGGCTGGGGATTTAGGGTTTCGGGAGGGTCAACCTCTGCTCGTCCAACGGCCGACCTGCAGCGATGAAAATTCAGCTGGGGGACGGATCAGAATCGCAATGTACATGAGGTCCAGGAACGTATCCTGAGCGGCATCGCGGCGGCAAGCGCGGTCAGAACGTGCCGCGCTACGAACGGAGCGATTCGGACGATGTGATGATGTGATGGGGGCCCCGGTGGGGGTCGAACACCTGGTCGAACGATGTAGACTTGGCTTTCGCACTGGAGGTCAATGAGGAAGAACTGGAATCTGCCGGAGAAGAACATGAAGCTTTTGTTTTTCAACTCCTTTTCGACAGCTTGGGCCCGGCACCCCTCTCCGTAGCAGGGACATTTGACCCTTTGGCCTGCATGTGTCATGGAGAAACTGCGCCAAACACCGCAGACCGAAGTGAAGCAACACTCACTCCGGGTGCTTTCGCATCGATCCGCAGAACGAAGAGATTTTCATCGTCCCAAGTCTCCAAGAGATTGCCCCAATGGGTCCGTCGATGGGTTTCGGCCAGGATGGCGCGCCCCACCACGGTGTTCATGCATTGGCTCTCGTTGCCCATGTCCACCACGACCTGACCCGGTGCTTGTTACGCGGACCGGACCGGACGCCACCGGTCCGAAAAAGCATTGGGTCACACACAGCGGAGGCGAAAACCTAACTCCGAAACCGAAACCGAAACCGGTTTGGAGGCCATCGCTGGTAGGTTGGAGGCCATTGCTGTTAGTAGCTAGCTAGAAGTAAGTAGCTAGCTTGGGTCATTCGGATGTGGCTTCTCTTGCAGTTCGTCTCAGCCTTTGCTGAAAGCGGTAAATCTCTCACCGCCAGTGGGACCCAAGGATTTCTCCGATTTCTTCAGCCTTGAAACTTGTCCCTAGCCTTTTCACCCCGTGATGATTCAGAAGGTTCTCTCACAAACTACTATGAGAAGGAAACCCATCAAGTACTTCTTGCCGCGGAATTCCGCTTCAGCTTCCTCCCTCTTCTCTCTCTCTCTCTCTGTTAAAGCCATCGCTCCATCGCTGGACAGCCATCTCTTCATCTCTTCATATCTGTGACATCACATGCATGATTCTGATTCCTGCCCCCCCAAAAGTCCTCCTTTTTGACCTCAACTACTAAGCCTCCTAAAGCATCCGCATCACAAGACACGGCTTCCGGCACCGCGTCACGGATCCGGCACGTGCCTTGAGAAGCAAAGCTTGGTACTGGTTGCGGCACTGGAAGAGTTGGACCAAAGGAGTGATGCTGTAGCTGGCTTTGGCACACGCACGATCCCCTCAGCCCCATCGAAGCAGCGCAAGCTCAAAGCAGCGCACACGGTGGGGTGGGGGGAATCCACGCTTTTGCGGGTGTGCGAGAACGCCCAAGCCAGCGGATCAGCTGAAGAACTGAAGGAAAAATGGAGATGAAACAAAGAAAGGACTTCTGTTGTTGGGAAGGCGTATGTTTTTGGGAGAGCTGGCCCCCAAGCTCACTTTCAATTCTGCTGAAGAATAGTGACCAGTGACCAGTGACCTAGCGGCATCAATGCCACACATGAGTGGCAAATAATTGCAGCCAGCCACCGGTGGCAATCTTCTGCTTGAACAAACTCCATAGCGTTTGCCCCATGTGAAAGTCCGTGAACTTCTTGCTGCTCACTGTGTTGAAGCCTTGCAATTGGAATGGTCAACAAGCAATAGTAAGAGGGTTCCTGTTCGCCACAGGCCGGTGAACATGCAGTCAGTCAGCCTGGGTCCTGGCGTTTGAAGCTACCTTTCCCTCATGCAGCGGTCCTGGCGTCGTCCGTAGAACACAGCGGCAAAGGAGTTGCAACAGGAAAACCATATGAGTCGACTGCTTCGCCCTGTATCGAAAACCAAAGTCCAAGTTGTAAAGAACTTATCAGGAACTACCGTGGATTGGCCCTTGGCTCTTGGATTCGAAGCCTCCTGCAGACCGAGATGAAAACGGTCAACCCGAGACTCTTTGCATTCCATTTGCCACAGCACGGCTTCTAGGTTGGAGGTCATCGCTGTTGGAAACCAAGACCCCCCCAAAAAAAAGGAAGAAGAAGGAGAAGAAGGGGAAGAATACTCGGGAACCCCCGAGGTCCCTTCGTCTTCGTCTTGCGTCCGGAAGATTCTGGTGAAACCTGCCAGGCAGCAACTCTCCACATCATCCCGGTGCATCTGGGCGTTGCTTGGCTGGTGAAAGAGCACCGAGAACACCGACCCACCAAGCACCTCGGACCGGATGCAGCCAACAGGCCGCTGGGGCTGCCGCTGGCACGGTGGCTCAGACCCACAAAGAACGGCATGCTGCTGCAGCGGTTTTGGGGCGCTTCATCGGGAGACCTTGAGAACCACCCTGGAAGACCCAAAAATCCTTCCACATCACACGACTTGGAACAAGTCCGTCCAAAGGCAAATCTCGACCCTTCCACCTTGGCCACGAAGAGCTTCCATCCCAAGGGACCCTTCACCATACATTTAGCTGTTTTCCCTTCAGGTCGTGGACCGCTTCCTCGTCCTTCACGCGTGGGCCATTCCGCGGAAGGGACGTCGGACCGTCTGACCCCGCCGCCACCCGTGGCGTGCCCCCGGGGCACCGGCTTCCAGTCGCAGAAGTGACAGCCGTGCTCCAGCTGCAGGCGCTGCCGCACGGCGGGGATCTCGTAGAGCCGTGCTTCGGCGCGAGACCAGGTCAGCTCCAGAGATAAACTGCTCATGAACCTCGAGGTCCAGGCGGTTTGGTCTGAGAAGATGTGGAAAAGAAGTGGAACAACTATAACGAACGAAGGAACACACCGCTGAACCCTTCGGAGACCGAACATTCGAAGCGCCGTGGAGGCGGTCCGTGACCAAAACGGCACCGGCGGTAGTCTTGCCCATCGGCGCCTTCGAACAAATCCGAAAGGAGGATTTGGACATGTCCTACCTGCATGTTCGTTCGGTCACTTGCAAGCAGGTGATTCTGGTCTCCCGAAATGCTGCCACGGCTGTGGCTTGTTTGGAGCCTAGACCAGGAAGCCCTGTACTCTCCAAATGTCTATCGATATATCAGTTTTCAGGCTAAAAGCCACGTCCACAGCGGACTCAGCAGGCTTGAAACAGCGGCCTTGGTCCTTCGAAGTAAGTAGTCGAACTTTGGGTCGGGACTTTAACTTTTTTTTGGGGGGAGTGGTCTGTGTGGTTCTCAATGGGAAAGGCAGTAGAAATCTTGTCTAGAAAAGTAATCAATCATAGAAAACTCATCAAAAGAGAGATTTCAATATAAAAGTTATATGTAAAGAATAGCGATGTTATCAGAAAAGTTATCAAAAGCACACAGAAGCCAAAAGCCACAAAAGCCCCAAAAAACACCAAAGCCACAGAACTGGCGGCATGGAAAAGATGTCTCGCCCCACTCCTTCCCCACTCCGCACCCGGGTCGAAAGAGACCCGTTTTTGGAGCGAACCGTGCTCGATGGCGGAGCGAGCCCGAAGCGATGCAAAAAGGCCACTTGTACAAATGCTCTTGGCCCTTCTCAACGCTGAGCACCGTGACATATTCCATAAAGGCAGCGGGGGACATCCGGTTCCTGGAACCGGACCACTCCGGGGCGAAATTTGCAGATCGTGGGGTCGTCCAGGTGTCCTTTTGGAATGTGTCTCATGGTCCATGATACCTTGTAGGATGACGAATGAGAGTGATTCTTGGAAGACCGACTGCTTGCCATGCCTGGATAGGAAGTGTACGACGTACGCGGTAAACTGGCTCCGGGTACTGGAGGATGTGCATGCCACAACATCTCTTGAAGGCTCGCGGCGACAAAAAGAATCTCCAAATGTTTCCCCGACACCCCTCTAACTACCTTTGAGATCGAAAAGCAGGACCTGCGGAGGATGTCCGCCACATCTTCCAAGTCTCGGTGCTCGGCCTCCGAACTGTCCACCACCACGGTCCCTCGAACGGGGCTTTCTCCCAACTGACGCTGGAACTGACGCTGGACCTCTCAGCCCCCGACCCTTCCGAGCAGCGCCGGGCGGAACATCCAGGAGCCGAGTGGCAACTCCTCGACCCACTCGTCGCACCAAGAGGGTTGGATCGGCCCATCCTCGCAGATCTCTGCCTGGAGTTCTTCCGGCCAACCGGAGGAACTGGGTCGTTGCGCTCCAGAATTCACCGATGGGATGTTGCGTTTGGACATGTGGAATGCTGACATGAACCCATCCATGTTGAGTCGGGCGAACGCCGCAAGGTGCCTGCAACTCTTCGATGAGTTTCTTGGCATGCTCCTCCTCCTGCTTGAAGCCCAGAACAACCTCAGGTCCTCAGCTCGGGGCACCGGGCACGGGACGCCTAGTAGAAAAAGCCACAGCTCACCACAGTCGCCCCTGACTCAACCTTCAGCCAAAGCCTAGGTTTTGGTCAATAAAACTTGGGACTGCTGTGAATGATGACACTTGACAAACTTGACAGGGGTCTTTGCCGCGGTTGGGCCAAACATGGCCAAAACCATCATCTCTGAAGTGGAGATTAGACCATCGCACAGCGTTGTCTAATTGCAAGCACCTCTCTTGCCGGAGGGTTCTCCATTTTTGGGTCGGCCATCCTCCGTCTTCGGTGCCATCTATTTCACCATAAATCGCCAGCCAATGATGGCCCAGTTCCTCCCTCTCTCTCTCTCTCGTTTGGGTCGCCATTCCGTTACAGCTACATTCCCTGCGCAAGCCAACCCGTGTGGATGAATGGCCGAATGAACAAATTGGGACTCAACCAAGCGCCACCGGTGGCACCATGCAGCGCGGCTGCCCAGACGTTTGCCGCCCAGTCGCGCTGCCGGGCCGTGCGCAGATCGACTCGCTCTCGCGCTTCCTGGGCAGCTTCCAAGCTCCTCACTCCGCTCGCAGGTTCGCTGTGCAACTGAGATTGGGTCGATAGGGAGACCTCCCAGTCATCAGGAGAAAAGTCTGAGGTGAACATATGGGTGGGTCCTACATATTATAATAGGGAGACCTCCCCATGTTACCCCCCCAAAAAAGGGAAAGCCACACCAAATCCATATGAACCTGGACACCAATTTGATGTGATAGAGCCGCTCAATCCTGCTTGCCCTCCTGTCCATGACGTGTCACGCAAAAACGATCGACGCGAAGCCCAAAAAACGTTGGTTCCCATCGGGTGGCGTTCGGCGACCGCCCATCTGCGCTTCTCACCACTCATCAAGTTGGAATTCGCTCAGAATCATTGGAGCCTTCCAGGTCAGCACCCAGCTTCCTCCCTCTCGTCGTCCACACCTCCACACGCCTAGTGCAGCCGAGGCGTCTTTTGCGCCTCGCTGAGCCTGGCTTTCTTGTGCATCAGCCAGATCCGGTCGGCGTAGTCCCGCGCCAGCCTCGGTCCAGCGTCAGATCCCGTCCCGCATCCCGGGAGCGTCGTCGGACGTCAACGAGTCCTTCCGGCGAATCCTTCCAGTGAAGGGGGATCCCGATATGAGTGTGGATGAGGACTTGTACACAGTAAGATCTGGAGAAAATGCCAAGTACTGGAACAGGAGGCTTGCATGCCTGGCCATGTTCCAGACCATTACATCTGCTTCAGAGATCCAAATTTCGCCTTTCTTGCCAAAGACCCTTCAGAAACCCATCGCCACATCACCGAGCTATCATCGATCCACCGGTCGGTCCACCGTACCGTTGGTTCCGCGGCCGCCGGACGGCGACCCCAAGACCCAGCCCGAGCCGCTCCCGGAAGGTCTCGCCGCGCTGGGACGAGGACATCAACTCCGCCCAGCGGATCCGGCTCACCTCGTCCACCGGGAAAGGCCTCGATTCGTCGGTGTGGCGCGCCGCCTTGGCGCTCAGGATGACCCAACTAAGATCCGAAAGGGTGATTGTTTGAGAACGAGCAGCGGGTGGTGTGCAATGTCTACGTCCAAAACATGACACGTGCTCTGTCATGAGCAGCTATCAGGATAGTCGTCAGTGATCAAACATGAAGCGCCTATACAACCGGCACCCCCTCTGCAAAAGTGGGTTGCAAAGGGCTCCCCCACAAGAAATGGTGCTGCTGTGCGCACTCATGCGAGGTATACCTTGCATCTATATATGCTGTGCGCAGGAATTTTAGTAGATCAAAACGATGGGCGGCAAACCAGCTCCTGATTTTGCATACTCCTAAGTTCTTCCATTGTAGAAGTGAAAACCCAAACCCCTCCGCTGATGCATTTTCTTAGACAATCTTCTGGCTCAACTCAATTTCTCAGATATATAGATATATAGAGCTACGCTTGATTGTGGGCATGTTACCCATGCACCACCGAGCTCATTTGGCAGTCGAAGACCGGTCGAAACCGGTCGCCGACGGGCCCCGCCGACGGAACGGTCACGCTGAGGTGCTCATCCCCACTGGCTTCGCTGTCCTCGCCGGACTCGCTGGCGGGTTTCATGGCGTCATAGTCTCGGGACATCTGGCGCGCCTTCATGTGAAGTAGTCTGAACATGCCCTAAGTGCCCTCACTTGGCGCATTCGTGGCTTGAAGACTACGCCAAATGACCCGCAGCCGACGTCGAAACTCTTCAGTCGAAGGCACTCGTTTGTGCTGATCGGAGCCACTCAACGGTCTGCCCCCGTGCGGTCGGCTCGGCTCGGCTGAAACAGGTCCAAAGAGTACGAGGACGGGAAGAGGACGGGTACACGGACATCCCCCCGTGCTTTTTTTCCGTGAGCCTTATATCTTTAGAAGTCAAGCATTAACCTGGTGCACATGGACGGATCCACAACAAGTGAGTTGACCCTGAACTGTGGACCTGGCCCGGACCGCACGGTTCGACCAAGTGTGACCAACGCCGCACGGTTTGACCAACGCCTTTCTTCTCCGCATCATCGATGTCAGGACAGCGGTCGGGGTGAACCTCTCCTTGCCGATGTGTAGCCCACTGAGGGACTCATAAAAGCAATAAGCCTTTCAAAAGGCCTCCGCAACCTCAGCGACGCTCGCAGCTGCAAAGCTGTGCCGTGGCTTCACTTCGGGGAAGCTTCTTCCACTTTCTCCTCGTGCGCAGGGTGCGAGCGGATGCGACTCCCGGGTTGCACCTGCTTTTAGAAGGAGCTGGACGCATTCCACATGCTCATGTTGTTCGGCCATGAGGAGTGGGAATTCGCCCTTCTTATTCACCTGATTTGCATCCACCTTTGCATCAATCAAATGCCGAACACATTCTACATGCCCATCCTGCAGTAGTGGGAAATCGCCACGGTGCTCCCCCACTCGTTTCAGGTTGGCTCTTGCGTTGATAAGGATCTTGACACATGATGCGTGGCCCTTCCGGGCCGCTGCAAGTAGCGGAAACAAAAAAATAGTTCTCGCATGATCTAAGCAGTGGGGCTCTGTATGCTGCCAAAACCTTGGCAAAGCTTGATTGGGAAGGGTTTTCTGAGCATTGCAAACAAAACCCTTCTCCTTCATGCTGCGTGCGGCATACGCATGACACTCCAATCGCATGACCCATGGCAGCATCACTACATATCTTGTGGGCGTGTACGGTCATTTGGGAGCTCTTGCTCAAGAAACAAAGTGAAATCTGGCTCCACCATTTCCAAAGGGCAAAGGTCCAAAGGAGGCACACTATTGACATCAAAGCACTCATCCCCCAGAGGCACATTAGGGGAAGTGTTGAGTTGACTTTCTGTAAGAAATGCAAATGTGAGCTACTTCTAACGAAGCAGCCAACTTCCAATGCTGACGGCAGCCAGTGCGTTTGTAACGGCACAGGCTTGCTTTTGTACACACAGCGTCATCAAGAATGTCGCTCACAACTGATATCGACCTTTATGAACTGAAGCCCTTGCCTTGCTTACTTGCCATGTTCACTTCTTGTTGCACTTTCCTCACAACACACCTGCTGGGCTGCAGCATCTTGACAGTTGTAGGCCGCCTGCCTGCCATCGGTTCGCTGGGTAGCTTCCGGAAGTTCTTCACCCTCACTTCGATGAAGCGGGTCTAGTCAAACCTAGTTGGTTCATGTTGCTTCCAACAAACTTCAACAAACATTTCTTCGTTCATGCCCTTACATGTTTTGCACTGGTGGCGCAAAGGATTGCGATGACTATATCTTGAACCTTGAGGACTGCACTGCGGTCTGCGGCGTCCTTTTCATTCCTTTGCTTGAGTCTGAGGCCCGCACGAGGTGCCAAAAGGAGAATTCCGATTGTGCCGTTTTTGGGCCGGCGGATCGTGGGGCGGCGGATCGTGGGCACTGATGGGCGGCGTCTGTCGTGGCCCCTACATGGAAGAAACAGTCGGTCGTTTTTGAAGCCAAACACTTCCAGCATCAACGTCCTAACTCCGCTAAGCAAATGGATCGATCATGCATCAGCCACTGTACAGACTGTGAAGGTGCTACATTCACGTGAATTATTCCATGAATTCCCGCTCTAGGCTCTCGTGGTGGATGATCCTTTCACCAAACATGGTGTGTTGCTCTGACTCCGGTGGGATCCGTGATATCACGGATCGCTCATCAACTCCGAGCACGAGAGGGCCCCCCTCACGGTTTCCCTTCTATCCCCACAGCCGAGAGGCCTAGAGCTACACCGAACGACTCCGAAAGAGGCACGTTTCGCGCCCGCGGAACCGGCAGGTCTGTAGCCCGAGCAGCACGTCTGTCGGAGGCCGGGGCCCTCTGCACACACCCCAGGCCGACAGCTGTCGACCCAAAAGCCTTCCGACTGGGAACAGCTCAAAAGGCAGACCCCAAAAATCGACATTTCGACCACCTGAAGAGGCCCTAGCTACGTGTCCAAAACATCCAAACCCAGCTGGGTGGGATGTGCCCAAAAGATACACCAAAAGAGAAATGCAAAGCGGACGTGTAGAACCCTGGCTGACAACGCCAGCGGACCAATCCGCCTTCACTTTCCTCCACTGTGTGACCTTGTGTGACCTTGATCACTGTGTTTCACGCTGTTTTCATCTGAGAAAGGGTGACAACCACATCATTCGCGGATAGTCTTGCCCGTGGTCGCCAGCTACCCTGATCCTTGTTCATTCGTTTCCGTTGATGAGATCCGAGAAACCTGGTCCCTGTTTCAAGAAGAAATCAGATTCATAAATCTTACTTGGGATTGTGCCTGCTAAGAGGTTTGAAGAACAGCATCCTGCTTCCTGCAAGTTCCCAATACGTGAAATCAAACCTGAGTGACATGACATCATGACATGAGTGACATGGCTTGTTTGGCATCTTGCAACCCACCAAACCTCACTAACCTCCCAGAGATGGTCGTCAAGGCAAAGTTCGAATTCGCCGCAACGTGGGTGGCGGCGGGACCGAGCCGCGCGCTCCGCCACCCGAAGTCTCAGTGTCCAAAGGCTTTCCAGTCTTCAGCTCCCGGCGTCCAGAAGCTGGCCTCGCCTGTCGAACGAAAACGGATGGCAGCTTCCACCGGTGACGCTCTGTGACTTTCAGACCGATCCCCAAAAGATCCACTGTCAATGCTCCTCCTTTTCTCGGGACCTTTGCCAGGCCGAAGCTGACGCAGGGTTTCGTTTCCTGTACCAACTGGGTGTTGGCAAGGCTTAGCAGATTTACAGACGCCCGTAGCTGCTGGCTCGCCAGGCATTTGGGAACTACCCTGGTGACAGTTGAGGCCTCACCTAGCCGCCTCCACTTTCCACGCCTTGTCCATGGGGATCTTTTCATTGACCGGTGAAAGGAATAGCTCTGCATCCTCCTTGCGGTCTGATCTTCCCAAAAAACGGCGAACATTCGCTGTTCTCAGCTGTATCGACCAACACACCCGTATGGTCAAACAAACACCTGCAGCGTCTCCTGAACAAACAGCCATGGCCACGTTCGGCTATTTCAGTGCGCGGTGTTTCTGGAGGTCTTTCTGTTTCGCCCCGATCGCCTCCTCCAGAATCGCCTCCGAGGACGTCGTCGTGTTGAGAATCGGCGTCTCCGCGCTCGGCCGCCGGCTGGGCACCTGCCGAGGCGTCGACCGACGTGCCATGGATCCAACCGGTGTGCAGGAGCCCCACAGTAGCGTCCTTGCTCCTAGTAGTAAGGCCAGGAGCCCCTAGTAGCGTGTCATGCAACCTAGCTTTCTTTCTATAGTGATCCCCAAATAGATAAGTGGCACGAGAAACCCCATACATCTTCGACGTGGGGATCTCCTTTTCTCTCCGCTTTCGGGACTCCTGAGAGCTCTCGCCTCAGCAGAGACTTCCGTGGCCGAATCCGCGGTCTCGGTCTCGTCGGCGAACTGCAACTCCCAGAGGAAGCGATAGATCCCATGTGCCACCTCCTCCTCGCCCGTCGTGCTCCTCGGGTGGAGGCCATCGCGGCCAACGCCTAGTAGGTCTCACATGGTTTGAGATGACGGGACACTGCGGAGCCCTTTTCTGGGAGAAAACGAGGGGATCGGACCATTTCAGGCGCCCTACAACCAGACCCAGCCAGTTCCGTGCCCTCCAATGAATTCTCTTCATCGTCCCATTTCTGGGATGTCAAGTAGGCTACAGTAAATAGAGGTCAACAACAAATTCAGCTGCGGCTTCACGGGGAACCTTCACGGAACCCTTGTTCGCTTCATCGAGTAGCACCAAGCACAGGCCTGCGACAACCTATTTGGGGCTGTACCGTGGGTGTAACGTATCCCAATCCTTGTAACAGTGGATGATGATGGTTAGTGAATGCCTTCCTCCAAAATAGTGATGATTGCACTGACCCTGACTGTGACAGGGAATGGGACAGCCCAAGCTGTACCTTCAGCCCCTTTCCCTCACGATTCTCTATGCGCCCTCATCCCAGCAAAAGACCCAAGGTTCTTCTCTCGTTGGATGGGTAGCTTCAGGAGCTCCTCCAGCAAACTAATCCGGAAACGAAGAAAATGATCAAGAACGCTTCACCAAAAAACACAAAGCCTTGTTGTTGCAGGTGAAATGATTTTCCTTTTGGAAGCTTCTAGTTGACTGGGACAAACAAATTCCGGGTTCACCTGTGTGTCGGTTCATGTCGAAGCCCAACACATGAAATACTGGCAGGGAAGGTGCAGCAAGCAGGAGAAAAACCTAACTCAAAAGACTCTGAGCAAGACTCGTCACCGGTGAAACACATGGGGGCAAACGGTCAACGACGGGCACCCACACATGGGTTTCCCTGGCATTTTGCATCAGATGCTTGTCGCTAAAGCACTAAGTATGGTGTTTGTTCTTCGCTCCTGATGTGTGCCAACCTCTGCCACTTGGCCCTTTCGCATGACCACGATCTTGTCAGCGTCCTCGCCATCCGTGTTGCAACCGCTGAAAGGAGGCCATGGAGGTCATAATTGACTAGTTGTGATTCGAAACTCAACACTAAATGCATTACGATCTGATCCACCACCACTCAGCAAGAAACCATACAGTGTCCCACTGTCCCACTGTCGTACTGTCGTCCCCCATTCTTTTTTCGTCCCCCCATGTCCCATGGTCCCACTGTTTTCCCATGTCACGGATTGGTGTTTTTCCTTCGAAACAACTGGGCGCCCCAAACTGGGCACCATGGCACCGACCGTTTTGTCGGACCGGACTGAGGTGGCCTTGATGGTCGTGAGGCGGTGCGCAATGACCAGCGCCGAGCCCTGGTGCGCCAACTGGTCCAAGGCAGCCTGCCAACTGGTCGTGCGTTTTTGAGCCGAGAAAAGAAGGAACCAAAGGGAACCAAGAAGAAGCACATGGAAAGAGATCGGTGCTGGTTCCAATCAGGAATAAAAAGCATGGAAGGAGGGAAAAGAACCAACACCTGTTGGAAGAAAATACCATGGTTTTGAGATCGGAAACCAAACAAAAGAGATCAAACCAGTTGAACCGGTGCCTTCCTCCGTCCCGATCTCGGGCGGAACGCCACGGCTCGCGGTGTTCCGGTCCCAAGCACTTCGGAAAAAGCCATCGAAACGGCAAGGCGGCCTGGACAATCTTCTCATTCTTGTTGTCCAGAGCACTGGTGGCCTCAAGAGGTGGTCTCAGGCATCAAGAGAAGCTCATATCGATGCGGACCTTCACCACCCAGAGGATGCAGCGAATCATTCGTCACCAATATGATTCTCTAGGAACAGGTGCATCGCTATTAGTAACAGGTGCATCGCTAGTAGTAACAAGTGCCTTACTAGTAGTAACAATAAGAATTTATTTAGAATTGCAATTACTAGCAAAGGACTCACGTCTCAAATCCGGCCACAACTGCCGATGGCGCAGCCACAACGACCAAGACCGCAAGACTCCCCCCCCCCAACCCATCAGTGCAACGCTATAGTGCTATAGTATGCTATAGTGCTCCAACCGACGTGCTCACGTGCTCCGACCGACGTGCTGTGCTCTCCGGTGAATCCCGTCCCGTCCGGGGCGCTTCATCCAACAAGATGATGTCCGGCTTCCGGATCATCACCCGGGCGATGGAGACCCGCTGCATCTGCCCGCCGCTCAGGGAGATACCACCGCTGCGCAGTTTGGTCAAGAGCCGATCCTGAGAAGGTCAGAGGGAAGGTCGGGGAAGTCACTTACGACACAATGAAGGTCAAGAAATGTGCAGAATTCCTTGGGTTCTTTGGCATTTTACCGAAAATATTCGATGTGGGAATACTATAGTATGTGGTGTTTTTTAATGGCGATTGGTGGGAGGTCATGGCTGGACAAACTGCCTTTTGGCGGGATCTCCTGGAGATGGACTTGAAGCAGTTAGCTGGCAAACACCTGTGTGGCCTAAAGCATTCACATGTTGTGGGGGTTTGATATTTTGTGTGACATCAATGTATGTGTGCATTCACTGAGGAGAAATATCCGTGCAGTCATTTGCACAGACAGAGGGGTGGGAGAGGATCAATAAGCCAAAGGCTAAAGCCACGGGAAGCCGAAAGCGACAGAAGCCAGAGAAGCAACCACGACAAGCTAAAAGCTAAGCCAGTGTGTGGGGAGCACACCACAAGAAGCAGAAGCAGGCGACCCAGCGAGCAGAAGCAGGGAAAAGGCCCAAGTGCCAACGGGATGCGGCCCTGGGCATCCCACGGTAGTGACCATAGACGAGACCAATCTGCTGAGCTACGTGCTTTGTGCCACACACAAGACCGCATGCAGTCGGTTTGAGGAATACTAAGGTTGCAGGCAACGCCTTGCAAGAAGGAAGGGAAGGGGCCGAGGGGTCAGGAAGAAGAACGCCCAAATGGCATCCGTCCGGAACCTCCCAGCCTGGCATGCACACCGCCGGTCGGTCGCTGAGCCCGGAGCGACCAACCGGTCCTCCACGTCTTCGGTTGAACTGGGCTGCACCCAAGGAGCTGCCTTGCTCTTGATGCCGTTGCTTCCGTCCCACAAGGAGGCGGCCTCGGATGGGGATGCTGCAGCAAGGTCGCAGCAAGAAAAAAGCCGCTTCGATGGTGGGGGGGACGTTTTTGCTTTCATGAAAGCAAACAATATAGTTTCGCAATAGGTCATATCCTTCGTCATCTTCATTGTCATCCCATTCCAGAAGGGCACTGGTGACCACGGGTCACTACCCACAAACATAAAACCACCTCGCAATCTCCACCAACCTCAGCAAGTGGGCTGCTTCGCGAGGTGAGTGTGACCGGGAGAATCCATCGATTGGTCCAGCCCCCGCCCCCGCCGCCTGTGCCGTTCGAATCCTCGGCGCGAACCGCCCGGCCTGCAGCACCTGGATCACCTCCTCGTCGCTGACCTCGGGTTCCGCGGACGAGGCCCACGGAACAGGGGCAGTCGAAAGCGACGACCTGGACAGGGTGGGAGGACACACTGAGGGGGTATGGTGACCTCCCGCACTCTTCAGGGGCTCGAAATTCACCGGCTTGGCTCGAAATTGCTTGGGCTCGGTCGGTCCAACCGTGTATGGAAGCTCTTCAGAGCAACTATACCCGCATTGTAGACATCAAATCGTCACATAGTCCGCCACCACCTTGTGGTTTGGATCATGTTTGCTTCACTCCATTTTGAGCCAGAACCCTGCAACACCTGCGCCTTCCCACACGGTCGACCCGCTTCGCGCGCCGCTTCGCACCTCGTGGCGCAGGCCGTAGGTCACGTTCTCCCGCACGGAGCTGGCGAAAAGCACGGGACGCTGGTCCACCACGGCCACCCGGGAACGCAGGACATTCACCTGAGACGTGCTGCGGGCCGAGCAGCCGCAGAGCACCGCGGAGGAAAGGGAAGGAACGGCGCTTGTTGGTGGGAGCGAAGCAAGTGACAGGTGACTCCCCAAAAGTCTTTTTCTAATTGAACAAGCGACAGGGGGTTGGAATGGAACATCATGGAACCAGTGACAAGCGACTGTGGTAGGGGTCGGAATGGAATGGAAGAGAGGCCTTCCAACGGAGGCGCGCGTGTCGCCTGAAACCCTTCGGAGCGAGCGCCAAGAGGCTGCGACAGCAGTGACCCGCGGAGTTCGAAAAGGATCGGACCATCCGGGAAGTCGAACATCACCAGGACGAAGCCAATCCAAGCAATGGGTGCCGAATCCATGTAACAACAATCAAACGACCAAAACCACCCATGTCGACGAAAGAGGCCTGGCGGCGTCTGGTGATCGACCCTCTCCACCGGCTGGCAGAGGCCTCACCCGAGACCACCGACCCCGTTTCACTCCACCGAGACCCGACCGGTCCCGGTGGCATTGTACTCGCGGAGGTCCACTCCGTCGATGCGGATGCAGCCCTGGGTGGGGTCGTAGAAGCGCTGCAGCAGGGCCATGCAGGAGCTCTTGCCACAGCCCGCTTCGCCCACCAACGCCACCTGGCCCCGCGGGCCCACGGCCCGCGCGTAGCGCACGGCGGGCAGTGGGCAGCGAAGGCGCGACGTAGGGGTTTCGCCACCGTGAGCAGTAACTCATGACCGGGGGGGAGAATCCGGTGGTTTCGGACTCCGTAGGCCCCGCCACGGCTGGCCAACCCCAGGCCACGGCTGAACGGCTCGCCTTGGTCTTCGGTTCCACGGTCATCGTAAAGCCATTCAAGATGCCGTTCCGCAAGTCGGTGGGATATCGAAAATGAACGTCCTCGCACGGTGCCCCCGAGTCGGACGGGCCCAATCGTCGGGGCTGCCAAACTAGAATGCACCACATTGGAACGACGGTTCACCATTGGGTGGGGGGCGACATGTTACTTTGGGGAGGTGTACTGTCAAAGCTGGTCTAGCACCCTTGAGCAAAGAAGCTCATCACGGAACATGAACCTAAAGCATCGTTGTGTAACATGCAAATAGCTCGGAACATGAACCTTATAAAGCATACAAAACCAGCTTGATGAGACCTAGGTATGTCATTACATCGGACTTGCAGCCGCAAACCACTAACAAGCAAGAATCAAAAGGGTGTTGGACTTGTCAACAATTGGCTACCGACCGTCTGTCGCACCGCACGTCCGTGCACCGCACCGGGTCCGTTCTCCTCGAAGTCGATGCGGCCGACGAAGTGCGCCGGGACTTTCTGCACGCTGAAGTGCAAGGTCAGCGGAAAGGACACCTCGTACTACAGTAGTAGTAACAAGGACGCTATTAGTAACAGGTGCATCGCTAGTAGTAACAAGTGCCTTACTAGTAGTAACAAGAAGCTACTAGTAACAGGTGCAGGTGTCGCGGTGGCGCGACGTCTCCGCGTTCGGGGCGAAACGGATGGGCGTTCGAACGGTCGCTTCGTCGACCACGCGCGCGCCCTTCCGTAGCATGGACGACCGTGGCTGAGAAGCAGAGACGTCCTGGGGATGAAAAGGAGGGGGGCGACCCAGGTGACCAGAGGCCAAGCCCTCAAATACCAAATCCATCCCTGCACCGCTTGGTTGGACATCGAAAGGGTTCGGCCACGAGTCCTTCAGCAGCTCTGGTTTGGCGGATGGGCGGAGGCGCAGTCTCCAAGCATTTTCAGGGGGAAAGCTGAACCACAAAACGAATTGGATCTTCCACATTCTCCACTTCATAACGTCCCTGTGGGATCAAGGCACTTGGCTATCACCGTGCTTTCCATAGACCTTCTGGGTCTTCTGGGTGTCTCTTTCAGCACCCGGCCGGGCCTCCTGTCCTTGAAGCGCCGCTGGGCTGGAGATGGCGTGTTCCCACGCTCCGCACTCGAAGGACAGCAAGGCAGAGCCCCTGGGAATCGGACGCCCGTCGTGCAGCACGTCCAAGTCTTCCGTCAGCACGGTGGATCCCGGCGACCGCCGCGGTAAATCCTCCTGTCACAACTGGAACTGGTGAGGAAGATGAAGGAGAATACTCCAAGAAGCTTCAATCTCTTCCAGTCAATCAGCTTATATAGACTATATAAACTGATTGGATGAAGCAATTGAACATCATTGAAACCTGGATGCAAGAGATTGCACGAGGATGCCGCAGACGTCCAAATTCAAACACTAAAGAAAACTCGCCAAGTGTTTTGGGCTCAACTGCAGCCATCTCGACTGGCAAGTCGTGATTCTCGGGCGCATGACAGCATCCCATCATCCCATGCTCCAATGGTCAAACGACGACGTACGACGACCAACGACCATCTCCCTTCCGCAATGCCCCCAGATATTGTTCAGTGATGTTTCAGTTCTCGTTCACCACGAGAACTGATGACTTCTGAAACCACTACTCCTAGCCGCAAAACCAGCCACAGCCTGATGTCCTCCGACCCCCACGACCGGTTGGCCTCAGAGGCCTCGGCGTCTCTCTCCGCTCGTGCGCTGCACTTCTCCAGGATCGCCATCAGCGCGGCGCGGTCGGCCACGGGCACCGAGTGCCGCTGACCGGCCGCTTCGATCTTGGGCGTCGAATCCAGCAGATCGCAGATTCCTCCGGCAGAGAGCTTGGCCCTTGTTGAGCCCGGCGAATAGAGGAAGTGGTTCTTGGGAGTTGCCGGAAGGAGAACTTCGATAATTTTAGCTCTTGTCCTTTTTTTGGGGGGAACGAAAGTTCAAGTCGGACCATGGCACCATGTGTCAGGACATCTTCATTCTTGCTAACTCTCGCTACTGCCCGTTTTGGTGGGAAAAGAAGGAACAGCTTAGGGCCTAGGGCATGAAGTTCCTCAAGAGGGGGAATCGTCCTGCGGTTCGCCGGCCATGGAGGTTCGAGTCTGGAGGAAACGTTCAGGTTCCTTCAGGTTCGAGTCTTCAGCTGTGAGGAGGCAACATGGACGTATGAATATAGGGTGGGTGGTTCTGATGAATGTCTGACCGAAAGGTCCTTTTGGAAAAGGGCTCCCCTCTACTGTGGCTGGTTGCGGCTGAACTTGAACGCCTGAGATGCTGCGCCATTCAGTAGCCCAGAAAGCGTGCCTGACTGCCCTCTAGCCAGTTGAAAAAAGCAGGTCTGCACATGACAATTTTACTCTTGTCTGCCAATATGCCATCAGAACTGGCTGTAACGATGACCAAGATTGGTGGGTTGCATCTCTCTCTCTCTCTCTCTCTCGCTCTGATCAACTTTACCTTTGGTTGCACATCACTGTTCTAAGATCCTTCCATCCTCTATCATGGTGCTCTTGGATGCTCTTGGAAGAAATCCACTGCAATATTCAACAAGTATGCTCCTGGAAGTTTCTGCGATTTGCGCATCCGAAACCTAAGAGTTATAGGCTCTAGGCTCATATCCGCCTAGGGCTAGGCACACCCCAAAAATGACTTGCAACCGCAAAATCCCCTTTCTCTCGAACCCTACCCCACTTTCAACCTGATCCTTCTCCACGCGACCGAGACCGAGCTTCGTGCCAAAGGTTCGAAGGCCTGGCGCAACTGTGGCAGGAGATTGGTCAGGCGATTGATACGATCCACGACCCAGAAGTTCAACTTGATGCTCACGTCAAAGAGCAGTCCCGGAGTCATCCTAAGCAGAGACGCAGGGGTGCGTGTGCCGACGCAGTGTGCCGCAGTGGTCGAGTCACTGAAGTCAAAAGAGTCAAAAATCGGGAAACCCAAAACTCTGCTAAGCAGTGAAGCATCATTCCCTCCTCAACCAATCCCGCACCAATGTACTGAGTGTAAGACAACCCCGTCACAATCACCATGGTGATGGGCAGGCCTGCGCGGTCTGCACAACACCGCGGGGCGACGTCGGGGCGTCGGTCGAACGGTTCGGGGCGGTTCAGTGGCGCCTGCCAGCGCTTCGAGGACCTTGGAGTCTTCCTGGATCTGGCCGCGCGCCGCTTCGGCGTGGCTGAAGCGCAGGGATTCGTGGCGTTCGTTGGCAAATTGCCTCACGGTCTTGATCTCCTTGAGAATCCTTGGGGTGAGCTCTCTGTCTCTTGTGCCGGTCAGGCTCCGCCAGGAAGCCCACGCTGGTCCACATTGGAACTCTCCAAAACGGCTTGGGATGGTCCACTCCAGTTCCGCCAGGCTGAGCTGAGCTGACCTCCGGTCCTTTTGGAACTCCTCACCCCACCCAAAAAATCAACAGAACTGAGAGACTCTGCAGCGTTGTTGGGCTAATAAGCTTTTTTAACCATCATCTTCTTTTGAATTACTAAGACCTCCAACCTACTAAGTGATGGCCTCCTCCCTAAAAGAGATGGCTTCCAACTCCAACCTAGGTTGGTTGTGTCCCATAACAGCACAACGACGTGACGTTCCAAGTTCCAACTTCCCCTTCTGTAGCCGCTGAGCATCTCCGCAGTCCCCGCGGCTGCCTCCTATGTAAACAGGTCCATTCTTCAATCCAGCAATGGTGTACATGCATTGAAAAAAACACTTCTTCGACTTCTTGAGGAGCATCCAGGTCTTTTCTTTCAAAAACCTACCCTTTTCATAACCACAACGAAGAACAGCCACGGTCTGATGGCCTCTGTGAGCTTCCGCCCGCGCGTGTTCAGGCGCCCCACGAGCTTCTCCAGGTGCCAGCGCAGCGCGGCGATGACGGGAATCGGCGCGCAGGCGGCGGCGAAGAGGGGCAGCGGACAGACCAGGTAGACCTGACCCGGTCGGCCGGACCGAAAACGAAAAGGATGCAGAAAACCAAGCACAAAGAAAACAAAACAAGACCCCGTGTGGTGGTGTGGTTTTCACCTTGTGTTTTTTCCGGTCTGTTTTCGAACAGGGCACAGGAGTTCAAAGCGTTCAGGTTCCTTTTCACATGTGTTTTGCTTCCGGTGTTCCAAGAAGTTTTCGGGACCAAATCGTGACCAGTGCCTGACCTGATTGCAAGAGACCTTCCATTACCGAAACCACACCCAAAGGGAAACTGCCCGTGTGGCACTGGTCGATGGGCCGTGAAGCATTGTGCCACAACGTTGGCTGCTCGATATTTGGTTCGGGCCATGCCTCGAAAAGGGTCAGGATGATGACCACCACAGCGCTCAAGGCTTTCTCAGGCACCTCAATGATGTTGGAGCCCAGCTGCTCGGCATCGCGGTTCAGGCGCTCCTCCCACGAAGGCCATGACCGTGCAGATGATGTGGCGGATCAAAGTCCAAAAAAAATGAACGAGTGAGTCTTCCAAAGTGGCGGCACCATCTACAAAAGAGGCCTCTTTATGGCGGATATTGATTGACTACCCCACTCCTGCAGTGCACCGGACGCATTCTGGTCGAAATATGCAAAGTCCTGCGGCGACAACCACGGCCGTTTGGGCCGCTTCCTTCCACCAAGCGACTGGCGGCATCCCTGATTCAGGCCGTTACCATTCTCTAGCTCCTGGCCAGCTCATGGCCGACCAGGTCTAGCCAGCATGACTTACGTCCGGCCATGAAGGGGTGGGGCTTCCCAAGGACGGACCTCCCAAATCATCCACGAAATCCATTGGCCAAACCAGACCACCAGCAACCCTTCCGTTCTTCAGACGAACCTGCAGCACGATCGCTTGCATCACACCGGAGCGAACCCGGTGCAACAAAGTGCTCTGGGCTCGGGCAGAATAGCACTTGCAAATCATCCGGAAGAACCTGGGCGACCCGGTCCCGCTCCCAGAGCGATCGACGGAGCGAAACCCCCCGCGGACAAAGCGGCGGCGCACCGAGTGCTGCTGGAGGCCACCACCGAACCCCCCCTCCCCCTTGGGGAGCTTTCGGGCGGGGCCAACGGCGCGCCGAACCGCTGACAACGGCGGTCACGATGGGGTGGAAACCACCCGTCGTCCAAGGAGCTCGATGGCCAAGTGTCCCAGGACCAAATCCACCAAGAGCCACAGCACCTGAGACCTTTCCCCCGCCGCAGCGGCTTCGCCCACGGCCGCCCAGCGCCGGACCTGCGGCTTCACCCGCTCACGCAGCGAAGACGCTGTCCCCTTTGACCATCAGTTGGGTCCATGTACCCATGCGGCTTGACCTAACCACCCTGATGTGGCATCTGCTGTGGGTTTTACTTAATGTGCCAATTCTTGATCGGTTCAGGAGCGCAGTGCGCATGGTTAACATGGCACATGATCTTTGTCAACGTGTGAAAGCTTCATGTCGACCAGGGGTTCTTTTCAGCCGCCCCCTCACTCCGAACATTGGAACCATTGGCTCGTCGCCGCTCACCTGGTGATAAATCACAGCTAAGCTATCCGCCACCATGCTGGTTGCAATGGACAGCACCAGCGAAGGCATGATAGGCACCATGAACTCCAGCAATTTCCACAAATTTTTCCTCAGCGAATCGATCACACCAACTGCATTTGTCGAAAGCCCTGCTGCAAAGCAGTTCTCATTAGGTGGCTGTTGGCTCTTGAATACATTAAACAATTTAGATATGTCATGAAGAGAAACCCAAATCAACGCAAATTGTGGAATGCTTTGAACCCCATCGACACCTTGCACCCGTTGCCGACCACAAGTGCTTGGACAGGCAAGCTTGGCAACTACCATGTGGGGTGGAAGTTTCACTACTCGCAACTCAATGGCGCCGGGAATCCATGGAGAAAACCTGGGGGTGAGTAAGAACCCCAGGGTGGAACATACATATCTCTACTGGGAAACATGTATACCTAGAAAATTAGAGGTGTCTATGTATGTATGTCTGGTTTCAATTAATTAGAGGTATGTATGTATGTCTGGGTACTGGGAACATACATACACAAAAACCTATAAGTATGTGTGTATGTCTGGATTCGTTTTGCTGGGGGTGTACTTTTAATTTTGGATTTGTTTGTTTTTTCCCGAAAGCACTGCGAAGGGTTCTTCCGGAAAATCTCTTGAACACTTACATTTCTCTTACACTTGAACACTTACACTTCTATACTTACAATGACACTGAAGTATCCAAGTGAAAGTTTGCAAGTGAAAGCATCCAAGTGCAAGTATGCAAGTGTAAGTATCCAAGTGTAAGCATGAAAGCATCCAAGTGCAAGTATGCAAGTGCAAGTGTAAGTATCCAAGTGTAAGCACGCAAGTGTAAGTATGAAAAAACTTTCACGGGAGACATCCTAATGAAAAACATTCCCCCACTGTCTAAATTCTCGGCGGAGGGTGGGACAAACAGCGTCAACCGAGAATGCAACCCTCTGCAGAGATCGTGCCTGTGGAGTGCGCGAAATGCAAGCGAGAGTGCGATTTGTCCCATGCGCGCGCAAGCCTCTGCGGAGATCGTGCGTGTCGAGGGCGCGAAATGCAGGCGATTTGGCCGGTGTGCGCGCAACCCTCTGCGGAGATCGCGCGCGTCGAGCGCGCGAAATGCAGGCGATTTGGCCGGCGTGCGCGCAACCCTCTGCGGAGATCGCGCGCGTCGAGCGCGCGAAATGCAGGCGATTTGGCCGGTGTGCGCGCAACCCTCTGCGGAGATCGCTCGTGTCGAGGGCGCGAAATGCAGGCGAGAGTGCGATTTGTCCGGTTCTGGCGCAACCCTTTGCGGAGATCGTGCGTGTCGAGTGCGCAAAATGCAGGCGAGAGTGCGGTTTGGAGACTCGCCGCTTCACTTTTGGAGGAAGTCTCCTACGAAACGCTCGTTTGGGAGACTCGCCGCTTCACTTTTGGAGGAAGTCTCGCACGAAACGCGCGTTTTGGAGACTTGGCGCTTCACTTTTGGAGGAAGTCTCGTACAAAACGCTCTAGTGTGTGGACAGAAGTGGCCAGTTTGTAGTGCAAAAGTAGTACGGGAAAGAGCTTTTTGGAGCTGGACTCAGAAGTGGCGCCAGTTTGTAGTACAAAGAAACGTAGTGCGGGAAAGAGCCCTTCAGGGATGGACAGTTTGTAGTACAAATGTAATCCGGGAAAGAGCGTTTTTGGAGATGGACTCAGAAGTGGCCAGTTTGTAGTACAAATGTAGTACGGGAAAGAGCGTTTTGGAGCTGGACTCAGAAGTGGCCAGTTTGTTGTGCAAATGTAGTGCGGGAAAGGGCCTTTCAGAGCTGGAGTCAGAAGTGGCAGACGGTGTGGCGAAATCACGTCCGTGATGTCGCTGTGCCTTCTAATTGTGTGGACAGACCGTGTGGCCAAAGTACGTTCGTGATGTCGCAGTGCCATTGGGATTTGCGCGGCCTTGGTGGAAAATGCGTTTGCGTGGCGCCGTGCCAGCGCAAAACATGCTGGCGTAAACGCGGCGTGTGGCTGGTGAGAGGGATCATTGGCGGTTTCATGTGGCATGTTTGCTTCTAGTGTGTGGACAGACCGTGTGGCCAAAGTACGTTCGTGATTGGGATTTGCGTGGCCTTGGTGGGAAGTGCGTTCGCGTGGCGCCGTGCCACTGGGCAGCGCAAAACATGCTGGCGTAAACGCGGCGTGTCGCTGGTGAGCAGAGAGAGCGCGCTGCTGCGTGTCACCTCAAGCTACTTTGTCACGTTTTTGTTTGGGACAGTCGATTAGAAGATGACAAGCATAGTGGTTGGTTAACTACATCTAGAGTGAAGAAAACGTTACCTCTGACCATATGTCGATGTGCAATTCTCTTCTTGATGTCACAACTTTGCAGGTCAATGCTTAGCCAAACTTGTTGCGTAGCTGGCTCAGAACTTTTCTATTTTCCATTCCAGCTCGGTTTGTTCTGCGAGAGTTCCTGGAGGCGTGAACGCTGCTTCCATTCCAGCGAGGTCCGGGCTCCCAAAAAGAAGAGATATATGCTTTACCATTTCCCCGTACCAGCAGCTCGAATGCTCACGAAGTTGAGCTGAGCTGTCACCGCTTGGCCGCCGGTGAGCGGGTAACAGCTTTGTGTCCTTGGGGCCAACGCACCATTGGTGTATGACAGCAGAGGCAATGCGCTAATGCGCCCTGCTGGGGACACACTGGCCGGTAGGGCCAGGTTACATCAGCGACGTGCTCCCTGGCTTCTCAAGGAATGGATGTAAAAAACATCGAACAAACTCGATTTTGGTTTGTGACATCGAACAAACTCTGTGCTAGCTTCAGAACTGAATGCATAACCTGGCGTCAAATGTCGAGCTTCAAGCTTACTGTCTGGCCACTCACCGGTCTTCTCACTTTGCTTGTTCTGCGAAAGTTGTTTGAGGCGTGGACGCAGCGCTACCCAGATGTCGGTGGCTTGCGAGAGGTGAAGAACTTGCAGAAAAAAGGTGTTCCTGCGCGTCAGAGAGACACACATACAGAGAGAGACATACAGAGAGAGAGACACATACACACACAAACATAGATACACACATAGACACACACGCACAGAGACCCACACACTGACTCAACACACTAGACTTAACACTTCAGACTGAACACCTAACACACAACTCACATTCTAACTTCACACGTGGTGAAAAATGCTTTCGGGAAACTCGTCGTCTAGTTCGAAATGTTTTTTCGCGACGCCACAAGTGCAGTCACTGCATGGCAGCTCTAACCCAGCAGCCCGACTGCGACTGCGGGACGTGGAACAGCGCATGCTGAGAGAAGCAAAAATGGACACAAGCATCAACCAAGACACAGAAAAGCACAACAGCAGCAGCAAAAGCAAAAACGCCAAAAGCAAGAAGCAACACACAGCTACTAAAGCCCAAAACAATGCAAGAAGCCACAACAACAAATGCAATGCAGTAAACAAAATAGCAACAAAACCCAACAGCCAACAAAAGAACATACGACAAGCAAAACACGTATCAAGCGCAACAGAAAACGAGAGAAGACAAAAGATAGAAGAGCAACCAAAAACAGACAAAACAATAAAGGCAACACAAGTAAGCAAAAACACAAAAGCAAACAAAGATAGACAGAGCAAAAAACAGCAAAAACAAAAATACAAAGCGAACAGCTGCCAAAGCAGAAAAACAACCACAGCAAAGAGCAAATAATAAAAAACAAACAGAACAACTGCAACAGCAAAAAACTGCAGCAGCAGCAGCAGCAAAGCAACAAAGCAAGGAGCAGAAAAAACAAAAACAAAGCAGAAAAACATAAAAAACAACAAAGCAAAGAAGCAGCGTCAGCAGAAAAGTAGAATCTGAAGCAAAAAAGAGTCCCTTAAAGAAACACCCCTCCGAAAACAAAAGGCCATCGTTTTCGTCGTCTTTTTGCGCCGTGAAAGAGCCCGGAGGGCCGATCTGGAGATGTGCTCCATGGGTTTTGGATGGTCTTTCCCATGGCAGTGGTCACCTGCAACATCTTTAGGCTGTGGGGGATAGGGGGCTCACCACGGGTGACAGAAGGTTGCCATGGGCGCAACACCAACACCCGTACTCACAAAATCTCCTCCAAAAGAAGGAGCCAACAGGCTCCACTTGGGGTTGTGGTTTGCGAACTGAATTGAGAGAAGCGTCTTGAACTGCGTCTTTGCGAAACTCTTGGCGAGCCTCTTCTGAAGATCTTGGCACCTCCGCCGTGGGCAACGGTCATCCACAAAACGGCCCGAATCAAAAGAAATCAAGAAACATCAAAAAACGCCTTCGTTACGTGCAGGTAACATACCTATACAACGAGCATGGGAGGGGCGTTTTCAACGGTTTTCCTTCCTCGTTGGCGTCTTTCCTGGCCTCAGCTGAAACGCCTGCACATCCAAGTGGAGATGTGGAAGCATCTTGGACACTTTGCCGCAAAAGTCCAAGATCTCTTGAAGCCGACGCCCATCCAGGGCTTCTCGGTGCGACGTCTCGTTCGACCCATCTGCCCACTTTCCGGCACGCTGAGCGGACAGCGCCTCTTCGGTTTCTTCCATGGCTCGGGTGAAATCCTTCTCGATGACCACCTTCAACAGATCCTCCACAAAGTTCACCGCGGGGTGCGTCTCGGAGATCCCATACGTGGTGGTACGAACTTCCTGGCCCAAGCGGACGAAGCAACCAAAAAACCTTCTGCCGCAACGAACCGGAGAAAGAATTCGACCCGAACGTCTGTCCTTCACGTCGTCCCAAAGCAAGCCGAAGAGCCGCTGGGCCTCCGGTAAACCCTCCATGTTTGGCGCGTCCATGTCCGACAGTTTGCTATCGCCACACTTAGCCTGGACGTCATTCATGACCATGGTCATGAGGTCCAAACCTGTAGGGCACCACACTACCCAAATGGCACGGGTTTGACGGGGAATGGTGTCAGTTACACAATGTTTGTCAACACGCATCCTGGCCATGGAAGGCAAATAGCACTCGAAAGCACACTGGACAGCACCCAAACTCAAACAAATGAAACCTTCAATTATGGCGCTTTGTTGTCAAAAGCCACCACACAACCCAAAAAAGAAAAAAACGTCCTAATTATGGCCCAGGAACAAGTTTTCCCCTTCACACGCTCGGCCTGCAACACTGCAGGGCACTTCTTCTTCAACATGAAATTCGCTGCAAACAGGGTACTCATGCCAACCAGCACGGTAACCCAAGCCGCTGCAGTCGCTGCAGAGAAGACATTGCGGATGACGTCGTCATCAGGCACGGCACGTGTCGGGCAAAGAAGCACTGCCACAAGCAATGGCCACATGGGAGGTTGGAACGTTGGACGGCGAATTGGAATCGAACCTAAATGGCTCGGCCGTGCCCAATGCCCTGACAAAGGACCGGGGTCTGCGAGACAACGTCGACCTCACCCATCTCTACCCGGTCTCACCGGCTGCGGCGGCTCAGCCTAAGGCAAGCGTTTAACGGTCAGTCTCGTGAGGTCAGCATTGATTTCTGCCGTGCCGTGCGTTTTGCTATTGGCATGTCTTTCCTCAGCTCTAACAAATGCCGCCAGGCTGTGCCACTGGGCCTGCGCCAGCGGCAGGGTGATTTTTTGGACGTGCACGGCAACGCCGCAATTAAGAAGCGAGATGAGGAAGGTGGGGAAAGAAAGGACCGGCCGAAAGATTTGTGCTATGGCAATGGCATTGGCAATTGCCAAGCCACCGCTGAAAGCCGTTTTAGTTGACCACAGGTCCGCACCCAAGTTTCCATTCACACCCAAACAATGAAATACCGATTGGTGTTTTTTTATCTAGTTAATGGGATCTTAGTCTTGCAAAGGCTAAAAAGCACCGAGTCAATGAAATCGGTGTGAATCCTGCACCTTGATATGCTGCAGCGCCTTCTCGCCTTGGGATTGCGAGGCGCGGTCTTCCAGTGGAAAACTAGATCGAATTCACCAATGCGCATGGATAACGGAAAAAACCTTGGCAACTGGCTTGCACAAGCGTCTGAATGAGACAGTGGCACAGTGGCCTAGAAACCATGTGTGTGGCTTGCGTCACTCCAGTGACTCGAGATGAGCAACAGGGGGAGCACGTGTGGATAGCCAGCAAATCAAAGGCAGGGAGGGGAAATGAACTGTGCCAATCACAACCCAAACCTGTCAGTAAAATTTAAAGTTTTTGTCCAAAAAGGGTGTTGCAAGACTGGGCTGCGGGACATGCAGCAACACAACAGCTCACAATCGAAAATTATGAACACATTGTTTTCCACCGTTCCGTGCCACAAAAAACGTGTTTACAAAAGAAGTCGGAACCGGTGATTTTTTTTCCTGTTGCAGACTGCGTCGAAATGCATCCTGCATGTCCCCAAGGACAGAAACGTGCACACAGTCTACCGAAAGTGAAATGGGAACCAAATGAAAAGGTACGATCCATGAGCCAACCTCATATCCAAAAACCTGGGACACCTGCAGCCCTCGTTTGAGTGTAAAAGCGCTGAGGCCTACTCAAGCCTTGTCAAAAGGCTGGCTGTTACGCCCGCTGCTGTCAAGCCCCCTGCTCCTATAAAGCATTTCAGCTCTCTCTGGGTGAGGACACAAGCCTTTGCTCAAAAACCACGTCATACATTTTTGGGGGCACCGTTTGAGTACATCCTGGGCTGGCATAAGGATTCAAAGGCCAAGGTTCTTGTTCAATACACGGTAACCATCTCTCGCACACAGGCGCGGCATGCGTCCAGATTGAATACCACAGCAAACTTGAAATGCCTAATTGAATGCAGAGCGCCCCGCTGCGTTCCGGCGACGACGGGGCGTGACCAGGGCATTGTCATTTGAAGTAAGAACCCCATAGATTTGCTATCTGGGAATTATCCCGGCAAGAAACCCCAAACAGTGTGTGTGAGGTCTAACAGCAGAAAGTCTATAGATCTAGACGCATCGGGGTCCAGAGAGGTGATGGTGGTGATGAAGGTGGCGATCGTGGTGACGGCGGCGAGCGAGCGAGCGAGGGAGTGGGTGAGTGAACGAGTGATTGATTGAGTGAGTGAGTGAGTGAGTGATTGAGTGAATGAGGCGCCAGGGGCTTCCAGCATTGATGACAACAAATGCCATGCACTGATCATGTAAAGGTTTGCAATATCGAATCTGCCAGCCGCAGTACACGGCGCCGGTAGGGCCACAACTCGCATGTAACAAACATTTTGTGAGCATCATTTTGGTTTCGCACAAGGTCGTACAATGACAACACGACCTGCCAACGGATTATTAGATATTGTTCGATCTTGTGTTGTACACACACCTTGGGCTACAATATGCCCTTGATCCCTGCAAATGAAACAGGATAGCCAAAACAAATGGACCAACCCTATATATATCATTAGCTGTTGCTTCAACAGTGTTCTACTCAAATAGCGCTGTGGGAAAACATTTTTTGGATGCCACATCAATATGTGACCCAAATGTTGCCCTTAGATTGCTAATACCGAACTGTTTTTGCCGCTGGTTTCACACCAATGCCGCACACACACACACACACGAACCCTTCAAGAATGCATTCTTTGACAGTTCTGGTAGCTCATTTTTGTTTCAAGGTGGGAAAATTTTCTAAATAAAGAGCAGCACCGAAGCTGAGAGAGACGGCGGGGAGCTATGTACAAGGGAGCTGCCGTGGAAGAGGTTTATTCTACATTTTTTTGTGCTTCGGACGCCCAAAAAATATCGTGGTTGTAAAAAGAAGATGGGTACCCAACTTCACCGTTTTCTGAAATCAGCTCACTGTACCTGGTAGGAGGCTAGGGCACAAGCAAGCAATTGCAACCAAGGAGGCTCGGTGCTTCAGCGGCTGCCGCATTTGCGTGTGAGTTGAGAACGGCCAAGCAGCACCGCCCCTCAGCAGTGAGTTCGGAGCATAATCGGTCGTTGCCTTTGCTGCGCGGGCGGTGAAATACGCCACTGGGACCGGAGTGGGCCGCATACCAAGTGGGACATGTGATTTTGACCACTTGGGAAGGCGACGAAAATTCTTCGGATTTGTGCCGCAGGTGCAACAAGGTTTGTTTCTGATGCCTGGGAATGATACAGTCCCTTTGCTCTGAGTCCATGTCACCGATCTGCGGCTGGGCTGGGGCTGTGGCATTTTTCGCAATTGATTTTTTCCAACGAGCGAGAGGTGAGACGGTGAGACGGCGGGGAACTATGTACACGGGAGCAGTCGCGCGTCTTGCGTCAGGTCTGCCAGGACGGCGGGGCAGGGCGGCGCGCCGCCCCCCGTGCGCCTGCGCGCGACCGGCCGCGAGGACCCGGAGGAAGTGCTCACAGTCGTCATCCCGCCGGCCGCCGGTCTCGAGGGCGAGGACGGCGAGCTGGGGAGCCTGAGCAAACTCGGGATAGATCTCGCAGCGCTTGCCCGCGGCGGCATCGGTGGCCGCGGCCCCAGGTTCGGCGGCGCAGCGCGCATGGGCCGTGCCATCCCTGGCGACCGGCGAAAACAGGGTGACGTCGACGGTGGCCTGCGCGCCCTGCTGTGCTGGGAGGCCGTTTGCAACGACCTCAGGCGGCGCCCGTCGGTGAGGGGTGTCCCATGTTGAGGTCCGGGAGGAACACATTGGTTGCGACGCACGCATCGGCCTCACGACAGATCTGTTATGATGGAACCACAACAAAATTGTATCTTGTGGGATTGCGATGAAACATGTTCCGTGCATTCGCCCATTGCCACTTTGACACTTTGAACCTGCAGGCCTGTCGGCAGCCCCTTTGGGTGCAGGTGGGACAAGTGAAGCCAACCAGATAGGGTTCTCTATATTACGATGGCCTTTCGTCCATAACCACAAAACATGCAAAAATCATCCAGCAATCCATGCCACAAATCAGGATCACGAGCCAAAACCTGCCAATTGCCCAAGTGTCGGTAACGAGTGTACGAGACAAATTTACTTGGCCAACTTGCCCGGGGGCAACCAGAACGACGACGACCCAAAGGGTTCCAAGCAAGCACCCGGTGGATCCAACGCTCTTGCGGGAGATCGGCAACATAGCCACCCAACTTCCAATAATGCTCCACACAACGGCGGGACCAAGTTTTGATGTGGAAAAAATTCGCGAACCTTTGGACCCGGTCATTCCATAAATGAAGGATGACATGCCAATCGCTGGACCAATCAATGCCAGCAGGCGGGCCCACCACGGTACGAAACAATTCTCGTAAATGTTAAATCCATCTGGTGGAGATCTCCTTGGTGAAGCGCGCGGTGGCCAGCACCAAACAAAACAACTGGAGAAACGGTGGCATCAAAAGCCGCAATGCTCATCACCAACAAACGCATACCCGTTCCCAAATCCTTACTTGATTCATGTGAAAACTACATTTGGAACATCGAGCCACCTCGCTGCGAACTTGTTGGTCGCGCGCGTGCACTTGTCAGGGTTGCGCGTGCATTTGCCGGTGGCGCTGCAAACGCGCTGATGTTTGGTTGTGTAGGCAAAGTCCCCCCAACGAAAATTTTTCTGCATCAGGCGCTGAGGAGCGGCACTTCCCCATCGAAATGTGTCGCTTGGCGGGCCGGGGCAAGTGCAAGGACTCTGGACTTCGCCCCCGGTGATGGCAAAGGCTACCCGGCATCTGCACCCAACTGCTCTGTCCAAGACGGCGCGTAGGGCCCCGGAACGTGGACAGGAGGCGCCGTCACCCCTGGTATAAACGGTCTAGTTACTAGTTTGCCCCAGCAAAAAGCAATGAGACTAGCTCAAAGCGAGGGGGGGCCGGAGGTGGTGCAAAAAGAACATCCACAAGGCTGAATAGTCCAAAACAAATTCGGGCGATGTGGGTTGCATGGTGATTTGGCTCGCTGGGCTTATGTGTTGCTGGGTTTGGGCAAGGGTTCGTCGTTCCGGCCCCCCGTATTTTTGAGGCGATTACAGGGGCAGGGCTCATGGCCGATGGCTACGGACAACGGCCCAAATACTCGCGCAGAAAAATTTACTTTTCTTTCACCCCCTGGGAGGTCTTGCTCGGGGAGGCTGGCCTTGCCGCTTTCCGTTGGGGATTGGCCTGTGGCTACTGCCGGTCTGCATCCATTCCTGAAGAAAACCGGTTCCATGTGTTTAGCGCGGAGTACCTCCAAGGAAGCCTCCTAACCTTTCCTATCCCACGCGTCTCCGTCGCTTGC